GAGGATGAGCGGTCAGATCATGCAGACGGTGATTTTACTCTGGGTGGGATGGGAGCCGTCTGGCTGCTGTGTGGGAAGTGGACATAGAGGCAATGGTCCAGGTGAGAGATGGGCCAGGTGGAAGCAGTGGAGATGGTAAAACTGGGGGTTCCTGGATGTATTTGGAAGGTAGAGCTGGCCGGACCTGCTTAGGAATTGGAGAAAGAGTGGATCATCCTTGGATGATGGCAGAGTGAGTGCTGGCTGAAGGGAATGCAGACCCTGCCTCGGGGGCAGACCAGGAAGCCCTCACCCTCTAGCTCTGGTGGGCACCTCCACTACAGGAGGGCAGGCTGAGGTGAACACCTTGACTTTCCACCTTGGCCTTCCTCCCAGAGCCTCTGGCGGCCAGCGGAGGAGAAGGCGCTCCCCAGGAACACCTACTCCTGCCACCCCTGCCGGGGGCCTCTCTGCAGAGCATTATCACCCGCTTTTTTGCACATGGAAACAAAAAATCTGCCTTGATTTCCATTGATCCATCCTGAATCAATGCTTTTAAAAAATCTCACGCACATTTGGCTTAAGAGCCAAAGCATGCATTTTATGTTTTGACATGGTGCCATCGATCGCAGGCACGCGTGTGTGCGTGCCCCACCTGCCGGAGCCCCCCGCCCACCCCGGCGGCCAGCTTGGTCGCAGTGCGTCCTTAATGGCCTTGCCCCCTCCTGCACCTTCGATGCCTCCCCTGGCCCTCAGCACGGGGCCCTTTCTCGGGTTTTCTGAAAGGATCGATGAGGCGCTGCGGCCTCCCGCTGCTGCCTGTCACTCACACTCTGCCATGCCATAAATTATGTATCTGCCTCTCCCCCCCACCCCCACCGGCTCTAATTTCTATTGCGTTTGTCGATGGCTCTTTGATGGTTGACCCTTCGGAGCCTCAGAGGCAGGGGTGCAGTTGAACTTTAGTGAGGACGAGGGTCAGGGCAACAGGCTTAGGACGCAGGGCTGTCACGGGGGCAGAGGGAGGCGGCAGCTGCAGGGCTGTGATTGGAGGAGAGGGGAGGGGCTGGGGCCGGGACCAGGGAGGGCTGAGCTGCTTCCTGTGGTCCTGGGACATCAGTGGAGCGAGGGTGGATCGGGTCCCACCCTCCCAGCCTAGGAAGAAGGAACATATTTCTGGGGGGAAAGAGAGAGACTGAAGGTGGCATAAAATGTCATCTCCTGCTGGGACTCCTACCCCGGCCTTTAGGCCAACAAGGAATTTTGCCAAGACTGGGGCGAGCCGAGGCTCGTGAAGATGGGGGCGCAGCATCTGTTTGCTGAGGAGTGGGCTTTTCCCCCTCAGGAGGCTCCGGACCACCCCCGCAGAATGCTGAGGGACGTGTTGGAAGAGCAGGGGGCTGGAAGGCCCGAGGCCCAGCCTCTGCCTCTCATTTACTGTGAGGCTAGAGACAAGCCCGTTCCTTCCCCCAAAACAGGCATCTGGAAGTTCAAAGTAGCTGACACTCATAGCAGCTACCAATTATCGACCCCTTAGCACTACAGTCTCAGTTCACCTTCACAACAACCTGGGGACAGTCGCAATCCCTGCTTACAGATGAGCAACGTGAGGCCAGAGAGGTTAAGTCGGTTGCCCAAGATCGCACAGCTAGAAGTGAGGGAGATTTGAACCCAGGGCTGCCCAGCTCCAGCTGCTGTGCTCCTGGTCCCTCTGCCCGCTCCTGTCGTGGTTGCCAAGGCCCCTTCCTGCTTTCTTCCACTTTGATTCTCTAAGCGTCAAATCCCCTGGCCTTTGCACTCTAGTGTCCCCTGATGTCCCTCTCCCCTCGACCCCTGCCCTCAGGGTCTTCCCCAGCTGCACTCCAGCTGGCCTCTCCACCCTGCGTCTTCTCTCCCCACTCTCCCTCTACAGAACCACCATGCCTGCCTCAGTTGATGTGACAATGGTGGCCAGAGGAGTGGTACGTTTTCCCCACCTAAGGAAATTTCTGAAATGAAACATAGAAAAAGAGTCAAGCCAGAAGTCCAACTTATAATCTCTGCCTTGCGGCGTGACCTAGGGCAAGTCCTTTCCTCCGTGTTGACCTCGGTTTTCTCATCTGTAAAATGGGTACAAGGTAATGGATGTTTTGTATACCTCATAATGGAGGTGGGGAGGAGAGAGAGAAATGGGATAATGCATCAAGATCAAAATAGAAAATGACTGAGGAAGTATTTTGAAGCTTTAAAACATCATACACGTGAAACAGATTGGTGCAAATACTTATGCAAGCACAAAGAGTGCTTTACTCTCACTCCAAGGGAGGAGACTCGAGCAGATGCTCTGGGTGACACTGGAGGGGAAGCTAAGGCAGTGTCCAGCTCTGCAGCCACAGTGACCTCTGTCTCCTGGCCTTGGGGTTCCCCTGAGGCCTGGGGCAGCTCTTTGGACAATGGACAATGCTCCAGGCTGGGAACCATCACAGTCTCCCCTAGCCCCATTCCACTGAGGTCAGTGGATCTTGTTAAGACCGAGACCCAGCTCTTGAAGGGAGCCCGCAGAGCTCCCAGGCTCTGAGCTGGGATATCTGTTATCTCTTCCGGAGAGGAGGGCTCTCCAGCCTCAGGCTGAGAACCAAGCCCGGGGACCCATCAATTTGATATTCATTCATTTTATGAAGAAGTTCGCATGTATAAAGTACTTGGCACAGTGCCTGGCACATAAAAGGTGCTACTCAAGTGCCCGTCTTCATCATTCATTCATCCTTTCACTCACTGTCTAGCTCACTCCATCACAGGCTGGTTTACAGAACTCCAGAGGGTGCCATTCCCATGTATGCAGGGGCCCTGTTTGTTCCCTCTCTGAAGCCAGGCACTGGGCCTTTGGGCTTCATGAGTGAATAAAGAGAGGCCCCCTACCCCTGCCCCCACAGGGGTCTCATAGTCTGTAGCAGAGGAGATGAAGATACCTATAAACATCCATAATTCTGACATAAGGTAGAAAGCGAAAAATAGCCCCTACCAGAAAAAAATAGAAAGAGGAGGAGGAGGTGGGAGGAGGGGATCTCAGTTGCCTTCCGGGCTCGGGCAGGCAAAGTCAATAAGGGAAGAAGCATCAGAAGTGGAGAAATCCAGAAATCCTGCCCCACCTGCAGGGGGCAGCAGTGACCCATCTCCAGACAGCTGTGTCCGGGAAGGCGGCGCTAGGATTACCAGGTCTTCTGACTTTTTTTAAGAGAATCAAGAAATCCAAATTTTTTTGTGCTATATTCTGGTTTTTAAAAATATAGTGCAGGTCAATCAAAAGGGCCACCAGTTTGCAGCTCTGGTTTGAGCTCTACAAGAAGAAATCAATTCCTTCCCAGGGAAGGCTTCACGATGGCGTCTGACCCTGACCTTGAAGACTTGGAAAGATTGACATGCGGAGACGGGAAGAAAGGATCAATAGTGACCTTAGAGAGCATCCAGTTCATTTATTTCCTTTCACACATTAGGAAGCTAAGGCCTAGGGACTGGGTCCTTTTGGTGGCTAGTTAATATGGGATGGGAAGTGGGGAAGAGTTTGGAAGAGCAGGTTGGAGACAAATTGTGGAGGACCTTGAATGCCGGGTTAAGGAATCTGGGTTTGAGTAAACATGCATGCCTTAGAGCTAACACTTCTGAGTGCTTTCTATGCCAGGCTCCAAGCATCATCTCATATAATCCTCACAATATGATTACTACCATCCCCATTTTGCAGACGAGAAAACAGGCTTAGAGAGTTTCACAAACTTGCCTAGTTCACACAGCTGGTGAGTGGCAGAGCGGGTACTCAGACCTAGGCCTTTCTGACCCCCAAGTTTGTGTCCTTGACCACCACGTTCTACTGCAAAGAAAAACAGAGCAGTTGATCTTCGAAAGATGCTCCATTGCCTATGCATATTTTTAATTCTCTAACTTGTTTCCTGCCAGAGCCCTGTTTTGTTTTATCGACTTGAAGATTAGGTTTCCACATTTCTTGAGGAGTCCCTCCCCGCCCCTTCTTAAACACAGCTGTCTTTGGGGGTGGGAAGGAGGAGTGTTTTAAATGGGAGTTGTTTAACTAATTGCCAATTATCTCTGAATAGGGTAGGGTTTCCAACAGCTGTAAGGGATTTTGGTCCCCATCCATTGCCTACTGTTGCTGGTACTTGGAGTATGTTGAGATATTCTTGGCCTCTTGCTTCAAAGAGACAAACCAGGGCCTCACCCCTCCTCCATCCATGCAGACTGTGTCAGCCCTGCTCAGGGGGGCACCAACCATTTCTGACTATAAGAAGATGGCTCCAGACTCACTCTGAGTGCGAGTGGCTTTGTGCTTGTTGGGGCTGAATTCTCCCCAGGACTTTATCCCTTCGCTAGTATTTCCCCATGCAGTTTAACATCTCTCTTGTCTGGAGGGTTCTTGCTTAAATAGGAGACCAGACTTTACCTCCTCCATCCTGAATCTAGCAGAAAGCTCAAAAGAAAATCTTCTAAGATGCGATGCCAGAAGACCCCAGCGTGATGGGTGATGTTAATTGTCCCTTCTGGCTCTGTCTGCTGGATTCCTGGGAACAGGCCGAGAGGCAAACCTTTGTAAATGTTAATCTCCTTATGCTTAACATATCACACTGTCTTTGAAGTTCCCAAACATGTTGACTCCTATCTTGGTTGAGAGTGTGTGGCCCAGACAGGCCAAATGCTTGTTTTGTCTTTCGTCTTCCTCCAGGAGGGCTCAATGATAATATGTTCACCTCCAGCTGAAACACGCACAAGTCCCTCTTGAAAGCCAGGTTGTGGGGCGGGGACAAGATGCAGCAACACTCAGGGCCACTATACCCCTATCCCCAGAAACAAACTTAATTTGTGACATTTTCTCACCCAGGACCCATTGGATTCAAATGGATGACCCTGACTCTTACAAACTCCTCCCATGATATAGGAAGGGGAAAAAAGGAAAGATTGTTAAAAATCCATCCATATTTGTATGGTTTAGATAATACTAGTTGCTGTAACAAATAAAACCCAAAATGTATAATGGCTCAAATACAATGGAAGTTTATTTATCCCTGATGTCAAGTCCAAAAAGGATGCTCCCGGTTGGAGGTAGCTTTCCTCCAAAGGATGCTTCAGGAGCCCTGATTCACTCCGTCTTGCAGTCCTTTCCCCTTCAACGATGGTCTCCCGGGTGTCTGTGCTCATCTGTAAGGGGCTGTGGAGGGAGAAAGAGAGGGTGGTGAAGGCACACCCATTTCTGAACTGCTGGTGCCTGGACATGACATGTACCACTTCCTATCGCGTCCCGTTGGCAAGAACTAGTCACATGACTTCATCTAGAAGAGAGGCTGGGAAGTACAGGCCTGGCTTGTAGCTGCTTCCCCCCGGCAACCTATACTCTAGAAGTGGGAGCGCAAATCTTTGGCAGACAGTTAACCTCTCTGCCACATCGGGGAGCCGTGAGGAGATCGCTGTGATACAGGAGGAAGAGAAAGTAGTTGAGTTGGAGTCAGAAGACATGGAATTGATTTTAGAGTCTGACTATGTCCTTTTGGGTGACTCACTTCACCTTTCTGAGCCTCGGTTTCCCAAATCTGTAAAATGGAGGTAATGCAGAATGGGAAGAGAGAATAAGGTTGAGCATAGGATGTCCTGTCAAACATTCTACCTGTGGTCGTCAATTCAGTTTGGACCTTATAGTATTTCAGAAAAAATGTGATATAGTTGACAATTTATATGGATTTCAACTTTCCCTGAAAAAAAAAATCGAAAGAACTGCCAACACTGGGTCTGCATTCCTGCGTGGTGACAATTAGCTAGAGCTGGATGCAGAAAAGGTATCGCTCTGCAGTTCCCTATAGGCCCACCACCCCCATGTGCCTGCTTCGCCCACCTACATGGCCTGGCTGTCCCCCGTCGGCAGTTAAGTTTAAGACTCCTGAGCTATATAAGTGTCATATATGTTAATGATGATGATGACTCTCGAGCTTTAGGAATGTTTTACTTCTGCTTTTCTGCTTTCCAAAGAATGTAGTCATGGCCAGACCTCCACCCCAGCTACAGAATCTTGTGCCTCGGCTTACTTAACTGATCAGCTCCAGAAATTTCTTATTCACAATGAAGGCCAATGTATATAATTTTTTTAGTTGTCAATTTTTTTCATCTTGGCAGAGCATTATGTTGTGATGCTCTGGATCTTGTTAATTTTCTGGGTCTTGTTAATTTGCATAGGATAATGAATGGGAATTCCTAGAGAAGGTTTTATTCCAGAACTCAGAGCCCTGTAAGTCCAGGAGTGTGATTAGGAAGTTGGCCTGCTGAGGCCAGTGCTGGGGAGGATGACTGACTGACAGCTGTGATTGACTGGCACTGCTGGTGATGCCAGGGGCACAGCTTTGTCGGGGCAGGCTGGTTATCTCCTGCCAACGTCCACTTGGATACCACTGGGAAGGCCATAAATGAGCAATCATGGAAGCCTTTTAACAGTCTGTTGACAGAAGATAAGTTAAGAAATAGAGTTATATAAGACTGCAGGGCAGAGCAAGCAGCAATGGGAGAGAGAGGAGAGAGAAGGAGGGGGAGGAAGGAGGAGGAAGAGGAGAATAATTCTGAGTATATTTATATTATTCAGGACAGGCTAAGTTATGCTGTTATAACAAATGACCCAAAATCTCAATGGTTTAAAACAACAAAAATTTATTTCTTGCTCATGGTACATATCCATCGAGGGTCAGCAGGGGTCTCTGCTCCACGCTGTCCTCAGTCTGGGACTCGGGTCGATGGAGCCTCCGCCATCTGGAACATCATTATGGGAAGGAAAGAGAGGGAAAGTGAATCATGCACTGACTTTTAAAGAGCCACCTGGAGGTGACACGTTTTCCTTCCTTTGCCCACGAAATTGCATGCCATGCCTCATGCAGAGTGAGTTGGGAAGGACAATCCCAACATCAGCCCAGGAGGAGAAAGACTGGGACGTTTGTGAACAGCCTTCATATCTACCTCTTACAGCATCCCAGGATTCCGGATCTGGAAGGATTTGTAGGCGTTGGGACTCTTTGGGTTGCAAAAATAGAAGGTGAAACTCAAACTACTTTAATAAAAGGGAATTTATTGACTCACAAACCCAAAAGTCCAGCAGTAGATCTGTCTGTCTTCAGGCAATGCTTAATCCAAGGGCACAGAGTCTCTAAAATCTGGTCCCTTTCCATCTCTCAGCTCTGTTCCCTCCCATGTGGACTTCATTCAAGGTTTCATAATCTGGGGTTCAAGTTCAATGGGAAAAGAAAGCCTCTCCTTCTCTTCAAATTTAATAAAAATTATAGACCTCAATCTCACTGGCCCAAATTGGGTCATGTGCACATTCCTGAACCAGTCACTGTGTCTGGGGGATGGAATGTTGGGCAGGCCTAAATCATATGTCTAGTCCTGGAACCAGAACCAAATAAACTTCATCAAAAGCATATGGACCTGGAGGAGAGGAGAGGTGGTTCCCAAGGGAAATTCAGGATACTGGACTAGAATAAGTGTCCAAAAATACACACAAATAAAATAAGACACGTCCACTACTGGATGTAGAGATCCTCCAACCCAGCGGTTTTCCACGTGTCATTTTGGAGGCGTGCTTCTGGGGCTGCCAGCGAAGATGAGGACAGGTTCCTGCACTCTGTCTCCCTTTCAGTTAGAGCCACTGTGCTTTGTCTGTTAGATATATTAGGACTCCATCTAAGATTTCTTTGGAACCAAAAAAGGGAGTCCTTTGCTTTAAAAAAAAAAAAAGAAGAAGAAGCAGGGGCATTAAACATCACTGATCTTTGATCCCACCTCCTCATTTTACAAAAGAAGAGACTGAGATTCAGAAAGATTAGTAGATGTCTCCTCATGTCTCATTGGCTAGAATCAGTCACATGGCCACCTAGCTGCAAGGGAGGCTGGGAAAGTGAACATCTGGCAAAGGAGACTGGAATTATCCCAACTGGCCTAGGCATAAATGGTCCATCCCCTAGGGCTTGGCACATTGACACCCTAAATAAAGCTGGGGTTCCTTCAGGAAAAAAGAAAGAAGCGAATGGCTCTCAAGGAGCTGTCAGCCATGGTGGTATGAGTCTGATCTCACTGAAAGTTCCTTAAGGCTAGGACTGGGCTTTATGCCTCTGTTTATTCCTCCAGTGGTCTGTGAAATGTGCCAGCAATAACCTCCTTTAATCTTCTCAACAATCCTATGTGGCAGTGGGTCATACACTAACTTTTAAAGTGTGTCCACCTGGAATAGACTCATCGCTATATTGTGTCCCATTTTACAGATGGATAAGCTGAGCCTCAGAGGCGAATTAAATACTCAAGGTCACACAGCTGGTAAGTTTTGCTTATCCCTTACTTTACACCTTTAGCATAGAAAGGGGCAGAGGACTGAGGAGGAGGGAGCTTTAAGCACAGACTTTTTACTACATAGGCGTTGACTGTAGAAAGATGGGAGTAGAGAATGAGAACACAGGCGTACCAGGCAGAGGCAACAGGATGTGCAAAGGCCCAGAGGCAAAATAGCGCCTAGAGATGGCAACAGCTTTACAGGTTTAGAGCATGAAGTTTGAAAGAGCATCGTACTCAGGAGTTTGGACCATGTGTGAGGACAGTAGAGAGCCATGGAGTATTTCCGGGAGGGGAGAGGGGTCTATCTTTGTATGCAGTTGTCTATCTTCAGTAGGGAAACTTGGCTCACTGCAGGGAGCGGGACTAGAACTGGGATGCCACTGAGCAGGTGAGCGATGACAGGGCCTGGATGACAGTGACAGTGGTAGGAATGAAGGGAAGTCGAGATTCAAGGTAAAAACTGGGCATGTTGATTCCACCAAATCTGCATCCAGATTTGGTGACCGGGGCTGACAATTTGGAGAAGATGGGAAAAGCTGAGACTGGCTCCCAGGTTGCTAGATGGTGGGGCCACTCGCTAAGGGGGGACATGTGGGAGGCGAGTGTAGAGGACAGGAACCCAGGCAGCCTGGCTCCCAGCCTGCACCCTTAGTCACAGTGAGCTCTGACTCCCCTGCACTTGTCATCCACCAGGGAAGGTCAGGACTCAGCAGTGGGCCAGAGGCATCAGAGGGCCCCCAGTCGAGGTGAGGAAATCCCCTCCCTGGGTGTGGGTACACCAGAAGTCCCCAGTCCTCAAGCAGCCTGCAAAGAGCACCGGGTACAGCTGAGCACTACCAGCCAGGAGCAGGAAGGGAGCTCATCCCTCACTGGGCTTCAGAGCCGCAAGGGGCCTTTGCTCCTCCCCTCCATCCGAGGGAAGACACCTGGACCCTCAGGTTCAGCTCAGGACTGACAGCGCGCCCGAGACAGATCCTGCTGGAGCTCTGGCAGGCACTTCATTACTTCTTCCACCCGTATCCTCAGAGAATCACCTGGTGCTCTCACTCCCATTACCCTGAAGCTAAGACTCTGCCTGGCACAGTGTTGAGGGAAAGGGTAGAAGGATAAATGATTTAAACACGTGACAAACTCGTCTTCAAATTTGCCTGGAAGAGTAAATGCCCCTGAATAGCTAAGTCAAATAGTTTTTTTTTAAAAAAAAAGCAAAAGTAAGGACTGCCCTACCAGATTTTAAGACACACTGCAAAGCCACAGCAAGACAAAGAGTATGGTACCGGCTCCAGACCAACAGACCAGGACAGCTCAGAACCAGATTATACGTGCAAAGATGAAAGATCAGTTCAGAGCTCACAAAAATGTGTGCTTTTTGGAATTATCTTGTTTCCAGTCCCACACACAGGCCCTCAATATGTGACCAACGAACACACTGGCTTTGTGGGCAGTGCTAGAATGAATGACTTTCTAAAGCACCCCACAGACATGCTCACACATATCCCACCCAAACTCCCGGGACACAGATATTATCATCATTAATTTACTGTGGCAGAACTGAGGCTCAGAAAGGTTAGGCCACTTGCCCAAGGTCACACAGCTGGTACATGGCAGAGGTGGGACACAAATCCAGCTTTTCCTGACCCCAGAGCTGGCGCACTCTGCTGCCTCTTCCTCAGCAGCAGCCCCACATGGAGAGGAAGCAGTGTGGGCTGGAGCCATTGCAAAAGCCCTAGAAGCCTCTAGAAGCGCTTGAGCTCAATCTCTGAAGGGCAAACGGATTTAGACAGGTGACTGGGATGGGTTACTCTAAGGCAGAGGAAGCAGCTGGGAAAAGGGCTTTGGGAGTGACTGTTCAGCCAGTGTGACCACAGCACAAGACACCCATGGAGGGTCTGGGAAGACAAGGCCACAGCGGAGAGTGGACACAGAGAGAGAGGAGCTTTGAACTACACAGAGAGGAGCTGGGACTTTACTCTTTCTGAAATGCAGCTTGATTTTGTCACTCTCCTGCTCCTCAACCTTCCAATCGCTCCCCTGGCCTCCGTCTCCAGGCTAAGAAGGGAAGTGTGTGTAGATGGAAAGATGGGGGGAGAGCCTTGAGACACAGACCCATGAGGAGGCTGCTGTCACCGTCCAGGAGGGAGAGCACAGGGTGTGGAGGGGAGGGGAGGGGAAGAACATGCAGTTTGGGGCCAGGTTTTGTGACGTGCGTGCCCCCACCACACCCCACTTCCTACACTGCCCAGATTGAGGATCACGGCTTCCCTGCAAGATCAAATAGCATTTCAAGCTTAGCGAATAGCAGGTACCTTGTTCTACTCACAGCAGGACTGAGCCAGGAGCAGCCAGAAGAACAGCTAAGGTCTAAAGCAGCAAAGAGCAACCAGCAGCTCCCTCCCAGCTCCATCGAGGCACAGAAATGAGAGGCAGACATTTCCAGGTTTATGTCTCACACTGACACCTACCTAGGCAAATAAACCTTTCAGTGCCTTAGTTTCTTCATCTGTAAAATGCGGATAAGAATAGTACCTCCTCCATAAGTTTGATGAGGCACACTGAGATGATGTGTGTAAACATACACCCACTTTAGTACAACCACTGGCATATACCAAGAACTTAACAAGGTAGCTATTATTATAGATAACAAAATAATTGTTTAGGTCATATGTTAACCCTTGAATGATGCAAATAGCAGCTTTTAGCCAAGGCATTGGTGCTGGAATTCTCAAACATCATTTATTTTACCCCCAAGATGGAGACACGGGCCTTATGACTAAGATATGTCAGATGAAAGAAAGTCCATTCCATTCCACTCAAGAAATTACGAATTGTCAAGCCTCCTGCTATGAAGATGGCTAATTATAAAGAGAGAGAGAGAAAGAGGAGAGAGAGAGAGACGCACAGATAGTAAATAATGAAAGCTCACATATTTCCCTGGTTTGAAGTACTGACTGCTATAAAAAAGAAAGCAAAGGAAAGGAAAATCTGTTCTACCTCCACAAGTCCCTCCTTGTGTGACAGAAGTCCACAGTGTCACCCCCAGGACTTCTCATTACTCAGCAGTTTTTGGAATGAGTGATTGATGCAATTAAAGTGATTGGTAAAGAAAGACTCAGTTACCAAGGAACAGATGAGTCAGCAGAAAGTTTAAGTAATGAAATAATGTTCCAAGGAGTGATTCTTAAAATAAGCTTTTTTTTTTTTTTTTTTTTAACTCTAGACACCTTAACTATTGCTGATCAGCAAAAAGATGTGAGGTAGTTGAGAACTGGGCGAAACACACTACGCAATTTTAGAAATTCTCAGATGAAGTCACTTTCAACAACATCAAACCGTATTTATCAAGTAATAATGGTAAGAGCTTACATTATGGAGAGTCAACCATGAGTTTTGGTGGGCTTTGGTTACATTATCTCATTTAATCCTCAAGTCTGAGGTAGATACTGTTAATATCCCTGTTTATAGATGAGGACACTGAATTTCAGAGAAGTTAAGGAACTTTCCCAGGGGTGCACAGCTAGGCAAATGGCCCAGATGGGAATGGAATCCAACCAGTCTGGCACCAGAGTCCACCTTGTTTAGATTCTCCGTCATTTCACCTGGCTCACTAACACACCCAAGATAACAGAGTACGGGCAGGATTTGAACTCACATCTGTCTGCCGCCAGAGCTGTTTCAAAATTCATATTTCTGTGAGAAAATACAAACAAGCATGTTGGCTTGGGACCCATCCATTTGTTTTCGTTCCATCAACATGTACTGAATACCCAGGACACACCTGGCTTTGGGCTCTACGTTGGTGCTGCAAAGATGACTGGGGCCAGGAGACCGCCAGGAGGGGATGCAATGGTCCATCCACAGGTGAAAAGCTCAGACTAGTGCAGGGGAGGGAAGGCAATCCGACGGGATCCCTCAGAAAGATCTTTGGGACTTGGGGAGCGAATGCATGTGGGGTATGTTTCTGAAGTCCTTCCAGTGGGTGGCCGGATGAAGGAAGGGAAGAGGTCTGGGCTTGGGGTCAGGGTAGGAATTGTAGGGGGTGACTTCAGTTTGAACATTTTGGGACATTTTGAATTTGAGTTGCTTGTGGCCTGGAGATACACATTCAAGCCGTCGGAGGTGTGGCCCAGAGCAGCGGTGAGAGCTGGGGCTGGATGCTAAGGCAGGTGTGCTGCAGCACCGCAGAGGGTCCTGGCAGGCCTTCCAGGGCAGGTGGGGGAGGGCCTAGCTGATCAGCAAGCTATGCCAAAGGCCCCCGCCCAGGGAGAAAAGAGAGCCCAAAGGGACAGGGTGGGGGGGTGGCTTTGAATGACATTACAGTCAGGAACCCAGCAGCCCCCTACTCGTCAGCACTAAACAGTCAGCGCATGTCCCTGTGGTTGGCCTCCAGAAGGACGGCAGTGGGATGGGAACCCCACACCTGTAAGGGACTGCTGGGCAGAAAGCTCTCACAGGGAGATGGCACCCACCCTCTCAAGCAGCACCCCCCAAACTCGTCTCCGGGCTGGACGCTCCAGCCCCCCTCTCCCCCTGCAGAAGGAAAGGATAAGGACTAGAGTCCTCTGTGGTGTCAAAAACCATATTGGGTGGCAGGTCTTGGCCTCTTACCCCAATGAGTGAGCCCCCAGACAGGACAAAAGGGTCTGGCCCTGCAGAACGAGTGGGATGCAAGGAACAATAGCTCAGCAGGTTTATGAAATCCTCCCATTTTGCCCCCTCCAAGCACGCCCTGAGATGAGGGTTAGAGCGCAAGGGATTTATTAAGAAAGGGGTGTGCGGGAGCAGGGTGGGGATGCGGAGGCAGCCACACTGGCTCTGTCCCCAGCCAGCTGCGCCATCTTGAGCAAGTTGCTTCACCTCTCAGGGCTTCGGCTCCCCTCTCTGTAAAGTGCGCAGTTACCATCTTTCCAAGTGTGCTAAGCACATCTCCGGGGAACGCGGACGATTCTGGGTGGCGGAGAAGTGACGCTTGCGTGGCCCACATGACTTTGAGGGCAGCCTGCAGAGCTGAAGGAGTCGGTCTAGGGAAACCTCGAGGGGCACACAGCCCCTGAGAGATGCCAGTCGCCTTCAAAGCCCAGGAGAAAGAACTTTATTGAATTAATTGGTTTTTCATAATTGTTTTCTGTTGATGGCAAGTGATAAAAGATTTTCACTTACAGTGGCAGTCTAAATATTCCTTTCAAAATTAGTAAATGGTGACAAAATTCGAGGGAAACTCTTCTGTAAATAGCAATTTCAATATCAGAGGCTATGATAAGGATGTGGAGGGTGGGGCTCGAAGGAGTAAGTTTTGAGGAACATTCAGCAAAGAAACGGCTCATTCTTCGCAGTCTTGAGTGCTCTGGAGCCTTCCCAGACATCCCTCCTACAGGTTCTAGGACCTGTCAGGCATTTACCAGATTAAAAGGGAAAATTAAAAAGAAAAAAGAAAGGAAGAAAGAAAAAAAAATCTGGAGAGAGAAAGAACTCCACCGACCAAAATAAACCAGGCCAACGATTTTTCTGCCACACTCTTCCTAACAGCAAAGAGGTGGTGTTTATTCCAAATGAGCCCTTTTCTCCACCTTGCCACTAATCCACTTTTTTATGTGATCCAGGAAAATCAGTCCTCAACTACCAATGAACATCTTTGCACGTATGAGTATTTGGAAAAAGAGCCACCTATGACCACAGGGTTTGGATTTAGATGTTGGATACAAATAGAAGGCACACAAAACTAACAAACAAACAAAAAAAACCTTGCGGTTTGGATCTAAAAAAAAAAGTCTCAGAAATGACAACTGTGTGGTAAGTCTGATGTCAAACCGTGTTCGCTGGGAAGGCGTCTGGGCTGTTCTGGAACCGTGAGGGTATTTGGAATCCGGGCTAACAGATGTCTCACTCTGTTTGAAAGATGTCGAGATGCTGTTCCTAAGGGCCTGTGGGTTCCCCTGGGGACAAAAGCCACTGATAGTTTTACAGAAAAAATTCCCCAAGATGACGACCATATATATAACACAAAGACTCAAGAAAAGGGTTGAGGGAAAAACAGTCAGGCTGAGACATCAAAACAAACAAAAAAAGAAATTCACAATAAATGCATGAAAGACCCATGATTCTGGGCCTTGCCCCCAACCCAAATCTTTGTTTGACAGGACTTTCTCTGTAAAATGATGGGCAAAGGAATATTAATTTTTGCTTGTACTATATGAGATAATTGTGGGTGGGCAGACAGTCGCTTCCAGCAGGAGAAATGAGAAATCTTTTCAGATAGCAATTATTTAGGGAAAAAAACCACTCCCCAGCAGGGGCAGCCGTCCCAGTGCCTCCTTGCTGCTGAGAGTGGGGAGGGCTGGTCCACTCCTGGCTCTTCCCTCATCTGTACTTCATGCACGGAGTCCCAAGGAGGCAGCGGGCCTCCAGCAGCATCCGAGGAGGGCTAAGATGTTTCTTAGCCCAGCCTAAAAATATCTCCCTTGACAGCCTGTCACAGTGTCTGAGATTCCACCATTATAAATTCATTCCTCTCTGTTAAGGCATTTTGTTTCAGGAGCTCTCTGTTGAAATACAGATATCCCGGAGAATTGAGCTCGGGTGAGGCAGAGGGAGAACGCGGCCTAAGAGTCAGGAGACCTGGGCTTCCGATCTGCTTCTGCCTGGAAACTCACATGTGAACTTGGGGAAGTCGTTTCCACTTTCAGAACCTCAGTTTCTCCACTGGTTAAAAAAATAAGTAAAAGCAGAAATTAAAGGAGAGATGTGGGGGTCAGAGAACACTGAGATCTCTGGTTTCAGGAGGAAGGGTCTGCTCCCTCTTGGGTTTGTGCTGGACTCTGTGGACTCGGCCACCAGATACCCAGCATGGCCAGGAGTGCCAAGGGACTGGGGGGTCTCCAAGCCAACCAACCCAAAGGGCAGGTTGAAGAGCATCTTACTTCCCCCCCCTGAAAAAAAAAAAAGACCCCTGCTCCTCCATTACTGTTTGACATCTCAGCAAATGGCACGCTCTCCACCCTGCTGCACCATGCCCCTGGGTGCTCAGGCCCAAGCCACAGACGCATCTGGAACCCCCCTCCTCTCGTCTCCCACTCCAATCCATCAGCAAAGCCTGTTGTCTCTACCTTCAACAGGTAGCCTGAACCTGACCACTTCTCCCCACCCTCTGGCCGCCACTCTGGTCCAAGGCAGCATCACCTCCTCCTGGATTCTCTATCAGCTTCCTAACTGGTCCCTGCTGCTCCTCATGGCCTGCCTCCCCGCGTCTTAGCTCCTCATACCTGAGAATGCCTTTAAAACATAAATTACATCCTGTCACTCTTCTCAAAACCCTCATTCTCTTCCCCCTCTCTCTCTTATCATAAAACCCAGAGATCTCAGCAGGACCTACAAGACCCCATACAACCTGGCTTCGCCTTGGCCTCATCCCCTCCCACGAAGGTCTCCCTGCTGTTGCCCAAACCTGCTCCCACCTCAGGACCTTTGCACTTCCTATTCCTTCTACCCAGAACTTGCTCTCCCCAGATATTTGCAAGGCCTATTCCCTAACTTCTTTCAGGTCTCTGCTCAAATACCACCTCCCTAGGGACACTTCCAAGACTGCCCTCGCTAAAAGAGCACACGCCCTTCATGTCCTTACCCACCTTAATTTTTCCCTTAACACTCATGACCTGGATATTGGGATAAGCCGTTATCACACTGGGTTGTCTTCTTTCTGTCTCCCCCTCTAAAATGTAAGCTCCCAGAGGGCAGGGACTTTGTGTTGCTTATCGCTGCATCATCCATCGGCACAGAGAAGAGTGCTTCTGGGATATCACAGGTGCTCAATCAGTACATGTTGGAGGAAGGGAAGGGAGCAGCTTACGTGGAATGGCACTGACATGGAGGCCAGCCTCAGCATTCCACTGGAGAGGTCAGTGCCGGGGTCTTTCCAGCAGGGCAGGGTGTCCTGGGGGGTCAAAGGAAGAGCCGACTGTTGGGAGATGAGGGGCGGCACTGCGGGGGTGCAGGCGGGGAGGTAGAGTCCCAGCTGGACCGATAAGTTCAGGGGCTGCAGGTTCTGGAAGGAGACCAGGGGAAGGAGTTGAAAGGCCCTTGTGGACAGATTCCAAAAGACAGAGCCACAGACCAAGGGGGTTATGAGCAGGAGGAGCTCTGAACTGTCCTGTGGACTGACCTGACATTGGATTCTACCCCCAGGCAGGTCGAGTCATCTCCAGAAAGCTCAGCTCGGATCAGGCCGCTCCCCTGTCTAACAGCCTCCCCAGGCGCCCCAGTGTCTTCCCATCAAGCACCAGGGAGTGACGTAGCCAGAGCAGGCGGAGGGTAGGAGGGAAGTGCTAAGGGACATCAGCCATTCTGGTGGGATTCTCCCCAAGTCAGAACCCAAATCCTCTGTCTTCAATGGCTACCGCTTACCCAGGGCCTTGGCTAGTGTCCACAGTGGAGTCTTAAGAGAGCGTGACCCTAATAACTATACTGAAGGGCAACTCTGTGCCACCCACTAGTTAACACCCACCCCGTGTTAGAGATGAGGTTCAGTGAGGTCATTTGATCTATCCAAGACACACAGCTTAGTAGGTTGCAGAGGTAGGACCGAGCCACCAAGGCCCAAGCACCCAACTAGTAAGCCTTAACGTCTCTGGACAACAGCGCATGTCTCCATCTCCACGCTGCCTGGGGTGCTCTGGTCACAGTCAGTCCAGAGAGGCCTTCATCCGCTCAGGGCCTGCAGCCACCGGAGCCCGGGCCTCCCCCAGGCCTGAGCAGCCGGCCCGCAGGGGGCGATGGCGGCACGGCTGGAGCCTGCGCCCCGAATCCGGGCCCTTCGGAGGAAAGCAGCTAAGGTCAAGGAAAGCGCCCCGCGTCCACGCCTGATGCTGGGGGAAACCCCTGCAGGCGCTGAGCCCCGGAGGCCGGACCCCAGCTGTGACGAGCTCCGCAGCCAGGCCACGGTGCAGCCCAGAGCTCTCCAGCCCTTGTTTGATGAGCAGCGGCCAATAAATTCATTAATCATCATTTTATGCCTCATCAAACCCCCTCCAAGCCCCTCCATGGGAGTTACACAAATTAGCCCCTGAAAAGACAGTAATTTCAGTTTAGCGAGGTAAGTGCTTTCTGATGGGCTCCGCGCACGGAGCTCTCCTGACAAGCCAATCCATCAGCGCGTTGGGGACGGGACGCGGCCGGGCCTCACCCAGCCCTCCCAGCCCTGCCTGACCTAGTCTCTGGGGACTACCTGGCGAGGGTGTCCGTCTAGGGCGCCCCCATTCCCAGGCTTCTTTGCACCCATGCTCCGCAGGTCGTCTCGTCCAGCCTCTGGTCCTCGCCCACCCCGACCTCCTCCCCAGACCTTCTGAACAGAAGAGAAACTTCGCGGGAAAAACCGAGGCCCCAAACTGGCAACGAACTTGAGGGTGGCGGAGGAGGACGCGCGGGCGCTGAAGTTCGGCACTCCAGCCCCAGGGAGGAAAGAGCCAGGCAGCTCTTTATCCTCCTAATGTCTGGATGTCGGGGTTCCGCGACCCCTTGAAATTATTGAAGGGCTGTGTGTATTGCGTGCCTGCATTACAGGAGGGAGGGAGTTATCCATGGCTTCCTGCGGATTCTCAAAGAAACCCCAGGCTGCAAAAGCCGGCCGTCAGGGAACAGAGAAGAGGATCCTTCCGTCTAAAGAGCGGCTCCACGGGGCCCTGGTGGCCCACGTGGACGCGCCTAGTGTTTTTCATGGCCCTCACGTCTTTCTGAAACCACCACCTGGGGTGAAAGATGATGCCTGGGGAGGTGAGCAAGAAAGGCTTTTCTATCGAATGGGCCCGGCCGGAATGGCTCCAGCACTGGGAGTTGGATAAGAAAGGAGAGGGGAACAAGCCGGAGAAAATTGTGCGAGGGGTGAGGTATTTGCAAGCGCTAAGCCAACGCCGCGTCATCTCCCTTTCCTGTCTCGGTGCACAGAAGGCGCCACGGGGACCCTACCTGGCGGGCAGGGCCCACGCAAAGGAGGTCGACGAGGAGGCACAGCCCACACCGCGCTGGCTGGCCAGCGCGCGCCGGCCGCGGAGAGCTCGAATGCCGAGCACGGCGCATCCCCTTCATTAGCTTCCCCTCCACGCGGCGCTGCATGCCTCGGAAAATAAGTTAGCAAACGGGGAGCCGTTTATCTCTTTTATCTTGGGGCCTGATCCAATTAAATAAGTGCACATTTACATTTGCATCCATCAGGCGGGAGCGCTGAGAGCCCGGGGTTTGCTCGGAGCAAATAAAAGCAGATTTCACTGGGAAAAGTGGCGTCTGGGCGCGCCGGGCTCGTCCGGGAGCCGGAAACGAGCGCGGCGGGGCGGGCGGCCTTGGGGACCCAGGACCGGGGCCTGTGGCGGACAGGAGGCCAGAGACCCTCCAATGGCCGGGAGGGGCCGGCCAGCGCAGGGGATGCAGCCAGAGCTGCATCCCCGCCCCTGAGGAGATCATCTTTTAGGCCACAACCCGGGCCCCGCCTTGTGCCCGGGATCCAAGTCGCATTAAGCGCGAAAACGAACAGGAGACCAGCTCCGGCCCGGTCACAAACGGAGACCCGCGGAGTGGGTCTAGGGACAGTCCTGCAACTTTGGCCAGTGTGGGAGGAGGGCAGGCGGCAAGGTCCCAGTCAGGCCCGATTTTCCTCCTGGTCGATGGCGGAGTGGTGACGGAGGCGAAAAGCCAGGCCACGGGCGCGCTCCTGCTTTCCCCCCATATCCCTGCACCAGAGGGAGACCAATTGATAGCACCCGTTAGCGCATCTGCGGGGGTGAAGGGGGACGCCCAGGGGAGCACCTCCTGCTTTGCCACGCCGACCTCAATAAAGGTGCTTTCGAAATAGGAGGGTTTGAAGAATTGGAGAGTAGTTTTGTTTGTTTTTCCTTTGCCTATAGATGTCCAACCCACAGCCCGAAAGACAGAGACGGTCTTTGGGGGCGCGGTTGCGCTGTAGACCTGGGATGCGCCAAACCGCAAATGGAAACGGCGCCGGGTCCAGAGCCCGGGCGTGGACAGGCCGGCAGAGCCGGAAGCGCGTGCACCTGAAGCCAAGCGGAGCACCGACGCGCCGCCCGGCTGCGCACGGCTGCAGCCCCCACCGGCAGGCTGTTCCCGTCGTCGGCGTATTTCTCAATTGCTTGCCGCCCGGTTTTCGAGGCTGTGCCAAGCCGTGGCAGGAATCCGTAGGGTTAAACCTGTTCTAGACGCGGGCGCTGCTCTCCAAATCCCCAGTGCTAACTGGGTCCTGGGTCCCGGGCCGCAGCGAGTGAGGTGACGGAACAGTTTAAGTCTGACCCCTCTTAGGGTTCAGAACTAGAGCCGGGCGGTGGGTGGGGGGCATAGCCGGGTCTCACCCAACTCCCGCTCTCTGTGAACCGCGTGGCGCCCGGGGCCCAGTAGGCGGCGCCCTTCCTAAACTGCATTGGCGCCGGCCTCCCTCTCGGGAGCGCAACCACATTCCTTTCTCTTTGGGCGCTTTGCAAAGCGCTATTCGGTGCTGGTGCCTCCTCCAGCGTTGGCAGCTAGTTGTGGGGGACAGGTGGGCTGGGAGGCACGGTCCGTTCTGAAACCGCACGCACGACCCTCCCCTAACCTTCCAGGCTCGAAGAGCTGCGCGCACCACGCGGAACGAGAGGCCCCGAGGGGTTTGCAAACCAGGAGGCCTCGATGCAGGCCCCGCACCCAGGCGGGGGAAGAACATTTCGCACGCTGGCACCCCGAGCCAAGGAGTGGAAAGCTGAAGGCCCCCTTCCGCAGCCTCGCCTCAATGTCCGCGTATGCGTCCTCGGGACCTGGCGGGGCTCCTCGGCCCCAAATCCCATGAACTGATTGGGCCCCGCAGAGAGGGGTAAGGGAGGGACCCAGCGCGCCCCCAGTTTGGCGCTGCCTCAGGGGGCTGACTGCATAGACCCTACTCAGTGATCCTGCAGCCCCTGCTGCCAGGGATTCAGCGCCTCCTAGTCCCTGAGTGCCAAGCTAGGCGCTCCTTGAGGGCCGGAACCGGCGCAGCCAAGCGCAGGTGGCAAACGCCGGCGCAGCCCCAACACTGAGGTGTCTCAGGCGCTGCTTCCCGCAATTTCCGCGCGCCAGTCCAAGCCTGGGAAAAACTCCGACCCCAGTGCCTCCAGGACACATCCCCTTCGAGATGGCCCAAGACGCGGCCAAGCGGAGGCTCGAGGCGGGATTTGGGGCTGTAAAGACACAAAACTACTTCTGGGATTAAAGGCGGGAGGCAGTTCTTAAATGCCCGAACCCCGATCTGCCCGGCAGGCCTCCCCCAACGTGAGAAGTCTCTAGACACCAGAAAAGCCACTGGCCACCGCAACCCAGCTCCGCAAAGGAGAGAACCTGAAACTTAATTGGGGGCTTGTTCTCAAGATGAAGTACGCAAAGAAAACCGTAGACCCTGCCGGGGCCAAGGGCGGAAGGATGCGAGCAGGGGGCAGCGACCCTGGCACAGCCTGCCAGCCCCTGGCGGTTTCGCTCCCAGCCGGGAGGCTCCTCGCGCGGCCCCTCGCTGGGGAGGACCGCTGCGGGCTCCCCGGCGCGGTCCCCGTTCCCAGGCGGCCCCCGGGCGCTCGGCTGCCAGCCCCGGGCTGTGGCGAGCAGACTCGGGAGGCCCGCGCCGCGCCATTTGCATATTCCGGGGAACACAAGGAGGCCTGTAATTTTCTTTTCAGAATCGTTGGGCAGGGTTTAGGGCCAGTGCTTCCAAAACCCCGCAGAGCTGATGTCGTCCTTAAACTCTCTCTTAAGAGAAGGGGACTGGCCTATTCTTCTGACTTTTCTAGAAGACAAGGTGACTCCTGGGGCTGCATATTCAACAGGGGGGAAAAAGCTGATTGTGAATGAGGCTGTCAGGGGGTGGACGGAGGGGGCTGGGGCGCGGGGGGTTGGGCGAGTCATCTCTGGAATTCAATTGTTTAAAAAAATCATTTATAATTAAAGGGACAAAATAAAATACGATCGTCTCATGCATATTTAATCATTCGCACTTCCAGCTTTGAAATCATTTTCCCTGCGTGAATTTTCTCACTAATTTAAACTCTGAAGTCGACTGCTGTTCGCAAAAACATCTGGACAATGCAGCTTTCAAACTTCTTTAAATTCGTATAAGCTAAAGGAGCCCCGTTGCAGGTTTGAAAAAAAAAACTAGCAAAAGTAAAACCTCCGGTGAAGTTTGGGGTGTGTTTAAAAAACCAAGTAGGGTTAAAGTAATCTTGAGTACAAATGCAAATATGTGCATTTTGATTTAGCCTAATTAAACCAGTGTTATGTGCAAACACATTCTCTCTACACTCAGGCTTGGGTTTAATAGAGCAAATTAATTCCCCGCGCTGGAGTAAGTTTTTGCTGGAAACCCTCCCCTCCCCCGACCACCGAAAATTTCCCACGAAGTGAAACCCGTCCGCGGTTCCACATCTCGGGCGCAAAACAGAGACGCGAGCACGGGCAGTGCTGGCGGGCCTCGGCGCGGGGCGCTGCCTCCTCCTCATTTGGGATTGAGACGCATCCTGGCTTTTCATTTTGAGATAAAATGTGCGGGATTAAAATGAGAAAATAAAACCTCAAAAATACTTTCGTAGCTACTCGGACTCGCATCTGACACGAGAAAAGTGCTAAAGCGACGACAAGCCTGCTAGAGTCCACGACGGCCTCATTATCTAGGCAAACGTCCTCGAACTTTTGAATGCCACTTGTCCAAAAAGGGGCCCCTGGTGGGGGGCCGGGGGGTTCTCCGGGTTCATGCGGGCCTCCCCACGCTTCCTCCAAGAGCCTGGGGCGCCCCCCCCGCCCCCTTCCGCCGTCTCTCTCTCCAATCTCCGAGTCTGCAAAGTGCAGGCTTGTAATTCAGGACAAGTGTGACACCTACCTGTGAAAGGGGGGAACCGTCCCCTCGCTGGTCCCGCAGTTCCAGCCCCGCGGCTGCGCGGGGCTCTACGGGGCCGCCTACCACCCGCACCCTCGCGGATGGAGCATTTACTAACTTAATCAAATCCAACGAGGAGATCAATGCCCAATTTTGAAGGGGTAGAGAAGACAGTGACTTGGGAATGCCTTCTCCTTGGCATCCCCTACCGCTCCCCGCTCGCATTAGCCCACAGCACCTTTGAAATAGTAATAAGGGCTAAATCCGGCATAAAATCGAACTCATTAGCAAAGTTCACCAGCTGATTGCTTTGCATAAAACACGACACTGATTGGAAATAATTAGGTTAAGCGATGGAGCTCGGGTGGTGCGTGTCTCTAGCTGGCTTTGCCATCTTTTCTCCCTCCTGGGCACACACTTGAGTCTCTCTCCTCCTTCCTCCACGGTCCAGTCTCCCCCCAGCAGCCCGCATCAGTGATCCAAATCTGCACTCCGGGCAGCGCCAGGTTCCCGGGAGCTTGCAGCCTAATTATGGCCTCCCCCTGGCACCCTGAGGTCCTGTAGAAGCTTCGATTCTCCACTTCGAAAAAAAGTTGCAGTTCGCACCTTTTGTCCAAGGCGATGGACAGTTTATTGAGGCTTCTAAAAAGTAATGAGTGGCTCTGATTATGTTAAAATCTCTTTTAATTAAATATTTTGCATTTTACAAAGGCGGCTGCAGTTTCTTTGATTTTTTTAAATCTAAGAGTATAACCTGTTTCCTTTCTGTAATAATACTTTAGCTCATACCCAGAAAAATCAATAGGTGTAAAAAATTAAATTAAACTTGTATTTTTAAACTATGAAACAGTTTTGGGGGAAACACAAATGTATATATTTATATTACAAAAAAAACATTAAATGCCTGTACAGGTGTCTTAATTTCATAATTTACTTCAAAGATACTGAATTATCAATTTAAATACAAAAATGCTACATTAAATATACAGAATAAGATTTAATACAAACCTTTTTTTTAATTTTTCTTTTCGGTTGGTTAAGACATTTTTCTGCGTGTGGAGATGTTTACATTTTTATGTCATTCACCTCCACGAACTATAAACTTTTTAATAGGAGGGGGAGTTTTGTTTTTCTCTCTCGTTGATGGAAAAATAACTGCCAAGGCCATGTTTTTTAATAAATTAGGAAAGTCCTGGACCGACGCAGCCCGCGTTAAATGTCGGACATACCTTTCTTCAATTCATAGGGAGAGTCTTTGCACAGGTCTAGCTGGGACTGGCTCCGCAACATTTTCGGGTCTTTAGCCAAAGCGTCCGCTCGGTTCAACACGGTCTGGTTTAATCCATTGAAATGCGAGCCCGGACCGGTTGTGGGGCCTGGCCCGGGCCCCGGGTGGCCATGAAGGTGTCCGAAGGACCCATAGTTCGTGTAGCCGGGATAGAAGGGCGCCGTGTAGTAGAGGGGCCGGGACAGCACCGTCCCGCCTGGAAAGGGGCACTGCGCCGAGGGCGAGCGCGAAGGCGCCGGGGCGGGCGACGAGCGGCTGCCTCCCAGGGCCTGCCCCGCCACGGGCCCGGGGCACGGTGGGCATGGAGAGCCCTCGCTCCCGCCGCCCCCGTCCTTGACCTTGTCCGAGGATGTGGCGATCTCTGCCAGAGACCACAGTTTGGGCTTGGCAAGCACCGCCTGCGGCGGCGGCGGCGGCGGCGAGTGTATGACCGAGGGCCCGCCGGGCCCGGGGGGCAGCTCGCCCGCGGCGGGGTGCGGGCCCGGAGCCGGCGCGCCCGGCGGGTAGTGAGGGGCCGGGTCCTCGGCCAGCCGCGAGGCCGCCGGCCCGGCCGGGGAGGGCCCGCCGGCGCGGGGGGGCGCGGGCAGCGCGTCGAGGCGGCCCTCGGACGGCGGCTCCTTCGAATCCGAGTCGCTGAGGCTGCCCTCGGCCTCCTTGCCGGCGGGGGTGGGCGGCCCCTGCAGCCGTTCGCAGCCCGAAGCCGCCTTCTGCTCCGCTCCTCCTGCGGGCGAAACCCAGGCCGTCAGGGCGTGGAGGCCGCGCGGCGGGGCCCAGGTCCCCGCCCGCACAGGCAAAGACCCCTGCCCCCATCCTCCAAACCCTGTGCGCCCCCTCGTCAGGCCCCCCTGTTCCTTCTTACTCCCGTTCAACACTCCCTTTCCCGTGTCCACCAACCTGCTTCGGGACCATCGGGGTCGCCCTTGTCCTCGGGCTTCTGGGGCTCGTCCTCGTCGTTCTTCTCCAGATCAATGTTCTCCTCCTCTTCCTCGTCCTCGCTGCGGTTCCGCGGCGTCCAAGTCATCTTGTTCTCCTTCTTGAGGCGCCGGCGCGCGTTGGCGAACCAGGTGGACACCTGGGTGAGGGTCATCTTGGTGATGATGGCCAGCATGATCTTCTCGCCCTTGGTGGGGTAGGGGTTCTTGCGGTGCTCGTTGAGCCAGGCCTTGAGCGTAGCGGTGGCGTCTCGCGTGGCGTTCTTCCGGTACGCGGGGTCCCCGTAGGGATACGAGCCCAGGGGCGCCGCGTATGGGTGGTACCCCAAGGAGCCTGCCATGCCCGGTGTATGGTCGTAGGGAGAGCCCTGCAGGCAACAGGCGAAGAGAAGGTGAGCGTGGGCCGTGGTCCCCAGTGCCACCTGGGCTACCCAGGCACACTTTCCCTGCGCCCAGGGATCTGCCGGCTGCGAGGCCCCAACTCTGGCTTCCCCCGAGGTAGGGCTGGTGGGCTCAGACCCAAGGGGAAACCCTCCTCCTCCTCCTCGGAAGGCAGCGGGGGCACCAACTCCTGAATCTGGTCCTTCGGGGGCGCTTGAAGTCCTCCTGGCCTCCGCGGCACCCTGTTGGTCCCCGTCTGCCTGGGCACGTCCGTCCCCCGTGCGCAGATCTGGCCACCGAGGCCAGGCCCTCCACCCAGAGAGAGGCCTGGGCAGCGGCGGCGACTCTGCGCTCCGCGCCCGGGTGGCTGCACGTTAGGCGCAAGGCGGGAGAACAAGGGAAGTCAAGGCATTTTTTCCCCCCCAGAGAAAGGCAAACGAAAAGCTAACTCTTGTCCCGGGACTCCCACCCCTCTAAAAACGTTACCCAAAACCGAAGCCACGGCGCTTTCCCAGAAAGTGTACCCGGCCGAAAAATCCCGGATGCACCGCAGCGCGGCCGACTTTTCAGAAATTTAATACCTCCAAATCGGATTGCGAAGATAGGATTACGGATTTGCAACATTTTGGAGGACTAATTAAAGGCGAGGCCAAACACATTTACATCGACTTAGCACGCTTCTGCTCAGATTTCGGGTCTATTTCTTTTGAGCTACTTTTCCAAAATGGCAAAACCAAAAAAATTAAGTGAAATAAAATTTGCAGGGCGGCCTGGAGCTCACGTTTGAACCAAACGCTGCTCTTTAATTGCAGCGAGCTCTCCCCAAAAACCCCTTTCAGCCAACTCAGCGACCCGAGCGAGACGCGGCTCTCCCCTCCGAGCAACTCCTGAGCCCGGGGCCCGGGCGACGCCGAGAGAGACAATCGCCCAAGTTTGCAGGGGCCTCGAGGCCTGGCGGGGCGGTCCGGGGGGCGCCGAGCCCGTGTGCCCCACAGCCCCCGCCCGCCCCGCGCGGCCCCCGCAGCCCTCGCCCGCCGCGGCGCCCGCTCACTCACCACGTACGAAGAGAAGGCGGCGGCGGCGGCGGCCGCGGGGTCGGCGCCGTACTGGAGGTGCGAGTTGTAGCCCGGCGAGGGCGCCGTGAAGGCGGTGGAGCCGGCGTAGGGCGAGAACGCGGAGCCCGACGACGAGCGGCCGAGCTCATCCGTGCGGGGCCCCGAGATGACGCTGGTGCTGTACGCCGGGCACGAGTAGAGCGCCAGCGAGGCGGACGGCTGGTACAAGTAGCCCTGCGGGTAGGACATGGCCACACACGGGCATGGGGCGCGCCGCGCCGCGGCCGCCAACGAGCCGGGCGGCGCCCTGCGAGGGCGAGCGGGCGGGCACCTGGCCTCCGGCTGCCCCGGGCCGCCGCTCCTCGGGCCCCGGCTCCGGGCTCCGGCCCGCGGCGCCTCCTCGCTCGCTTCCCGCGCGCCTCCGGCTGCGACCGCCGAGCCCGCTCCTCTGCGCGCCTCGCTCGCCCCGGCTGGGTTTCCCCCCCTCCCTTGCTGCTTTCTCTTTTTCCCCCTCGCTCTTTGCACTGGGGGGCTCTGCTTTTGGCTTCGCAAAGGTCCTGCCAAGATGCTAAGTTGGAAATTGAGGATTCTGACGCCTTGTGCGCGCCTGAAGCTCCTCCTTCCCGGGGTGTAGTCGGTGGGAGGACTGGCAGGAGCCTCTGGGCGGCCGCAGCCAACCCGGCCGCCAGGCGCGCCTCGCCCTCTCCCTCTTCCTCTCCGGCTCCCTCTCCCGCTCGCTGGCGCTCCCCTCGCCCCTCCCTCGCGCCCGCCTCTCCTCCGCAGCCCTCCTTTCCCCCCTCCTCTTTTTCTTCCCCCTCCCCTCTTCTCCTCTCCCCTCCCCTCCCCGTCTCTCTCGCTCTCTCTTTCTCTCTCTCTCTCTCTCTCAGACTCTCGAGCGCCGGCCCCAGGATGACAATCACATCCCAGGCGCCCCGATCTCTTCCAACTTTCCTCCCCTGCTCATTTGGGGTGGAGCGGCACTTCCGACGCACGGCGGGCCCTGGTCGCGGGTCGGGCCGCTCCGAAGCACAAAGGGACCGAGGCCGCGGACTGCGCGCCAGCGGACGCGCTGCTCTCTCCTCGCCACAGTAAATCACGGAGTTAGCGGATTTCTTGTTCGCCAGGAGGCTGAGCTCCGAGACGGATCGCCGTCCACCCGCCCTGGCTTCTCCCCACAAGCCAGGGGGCCCGAGAGCGAGTTAGAGACCCGGAATGAAAGTCCCTGGGAGAGCCGGATGGATGCCCGCGTCCAGAGCGTAGGGAGTCCAGGATGACTGTCCTGGGCAGCCAGCAGCAGCAGGTGGGCGAGTGACAAGGCCTTGGACGTTTGCACGTCGCGGCCCAGCCTCCTTTCCACCAACTCCCTGCCAGATGGCGAGGGAGAAGACACCGGGGGGCCTGGGAGTACAGGGGTAACCTATTTTTTTTTAGAGGAGAAGTAGTGGCAGGAGCTGCCAGACGACGAAGCAGCTACACTGGAGTAGGTCTCCGGACCCCACTACACCCGCGCCCGCCCCGCCGTGCCTCGCTGTCTGTTTTTCAGGGCTTTCCCTCCGTAGCTGGCCCGGCCAGGCTGTGGTGGCGGTGGAGGGAGCGGGCCCCCTTCCCCTTCGCACTCTCGCACCCGCCCACGCTCCACTGCAAACACTTCGCCGAGCAGTGCCCAACCCAACCACTGTTTGTTCAGCGAGGCGCTGGCAAGGCAAACACACACAACTGAGTCACAGGCAGAGCGCTTGCCCACGACGGCCACGCAGTTAGAATGCAAAACAGACCCTCTGCGCGCCTCTCCTCCTCGCGCCGCCACCCGCCACAGAAGCCACAGACGCACTCGAACTCCGGGACAGACAGGGGCGCTGGTGAACCAGGACAGGGGTTGGCACAGTGTTGGGCACTCCGCTGGAGCTCAGTATATCAGGGACATTGTGGCCTTTCATGGTGGGGTCCCGCGCACGCTCAAGCATGACTCTACACAAAGTTTCTCGCAATGGCTCCGCAGATGAGATACGCTTTATTTCCCGAGCCCCAGACCCCGCACCCTTACCCACCCCGCACCCTCGCACTCGCTGGGCAGCGCGACTTCACGCACGCGCGCTGACTCCTCCCCGCCGTCACTCCTCCAGGCTCCGCCCCTCAAGCGGACATTCTCCGCGAAGCTCCTGGTCCGCCCCGCCCCATCCCTCCCAACCTCCACCTCTAATTGGACGCTGGCCTCGATTGGCCCCGCCCTCCGGCGACGTAAGTCCCCTTCCCTCCGAGTGGTAGCGCCGAGGGGCGGGGCGGGGCGTCGGCGCGCTATTGTCATGGAGACGGGAAGCCCGTGGTGGCGGCGGCGGGCACGGCCGGGCGCAGGCGGCTGCCAGTCGGCTGAGTGGGCGAGGCCGCGCGGCCCGGACGGCCCGAGCGGGAGGGAGCGCGCCGCCGGCCGGTGGCGGCTGTCTCCCGGCTCGGCCCAGGCCCGGCGGGCGCGGGCAGCGCCCCAAGCGTGTCTTCCCTGCTCCTTCCTCCCGCCTCTCGCGGCCCCTCCGCCCGCAGCGCCCGCCCTCGGCTCCGCCCGCCGCCGCCGCCGGCGCAGCCCCTCGCGGTAACGGTCGGTAGCGGCCCGCGCGCGCCGCCCGCCGGGGGCTCGCGCCAGCCACGAGGGAGCGTCCGCGGCCCGCGGCCCGCGCGGCGGAGGAGAGGTGAGCCCGCGTCCCCCGTGCCGGCGCATCCGCGTCCCCGCGTGGCCCCGATGGACGCCGCCGGGCGCCCCGTGGGCACGGCCCGTGGGCGTGCAGGGCGGGCCTCTCCTGCTGTCGCGGTCCCCGGGCGGGCGCGCGTGGGCGTGTCCCCTCCATCCACGCGCGGCGGCTTCACCCTCTCGGCTCTCGTCCAGGATGCTGGTTTCTGAAATGGAGCCATGGAGGTTTGTGCCACCGAGAATCCGAGTCTGTCACACAGACATCCTCATTACATCATCCTGCCACTCTGGGCCGCTGGGCTCTGCCCCCCTCCCCTCTCCCCCACCCCTTCCTTTTTACTGTCTTCTTTTTGGTGTCGGGGAGGACTGGAGAGAATCCTGAAAGATACTGAAGCATTGAGAATTTATGGTTGTGTTGCTGTGGTTGTCACCTCCGCTCTACGTCAAATTTAAGACTCATTTCTTAAGGATGTCTCTATTTTCTGCTTTATTTGCACATTGATGGCTCTGCTGCTCGGCTGGCCGCGGCCGCCGGCGTCTGAGATAGACTTGTGTTGATATGTGAAAGGGAAGAACTGATCATTAGCAGGCAGACGGGATTCAGATAGCATCTGGCGGGTTTTCTCCGTTTTCATGTAAAAGCTTTCACGTTTTTGCTGCTCAGCACGAGGTTTTAACTTTTTCTTTTGGTAGTGGTGACGATATCTTCCCCTCTCCGCCTCTTCTTCCCCGTTTGTCCATCAGCTTTCCCGTTTGGGAACCTGCTTACTTGTTAGCAGAAGTTCGCTGGGCTCTGGTCACTGAAGCCTTCTCCCCAGCAGAGGTGGGAGCTCTCTTCTCTCGTATGCAAGGTTACCAAAAGGACTGTTTGTTTTTTTGTTTTTGTTTTTGTTTTTTTTTTTGGCTTAGTATTGCATTTGTATCTTTCTGAACATTTTAACTTAGACTAGGGATAGGTATGCCCTGGTTGTTTTTAACGTAGGACTTCAAACAATTCTGATTTTTTTTTAAACTTGCTAAGGGTTTATTGGTTTGTCATGTCTGCAACGATCCAATCATGCACAACTCTTAAAATTTAAAGCTTTCAAATAAGATCCACAATTGTATTGCCAAGACATGGCTGAGAGCTTGCCCTTGGAGTTTTGGCTGTGCAGTTGTCATTGTTTAAATCAAGTGCAAAAGAGGTTATTCCTGTTTATTTAGTGTAATAACTGTTTACAGTTAAAACTTTAAAGACTCATAAAAGTAGGGCTGCTGTATTTTACAGATCTCATCCTCCTTGTGGGAGAGACACACCACCACCCTAGGAAAGGCAACAGATTGTTCCTGTCATATCGCTTTGCTGTTTTGGCGTGTACTTAAAGGATTATGATTGATAAGGCTGTCTTGCCAGAGAATGTTGACACAGGTGTGCATCGTTATCTTAATTAAGATCCTGAGAAAATGTTGTCTATAAAATGGTGACATAAGAAGGGCGGCATATTTTTGTACAGTTTTGCTTTTGGAGAATTTAATTACACTCGAAACGTGTCTTTGAGCTTCCAGATTTTGTGAGCACTTTGGCAACAGGACTTTTAGAGAGAAATGATAGTTTAATGTTAAGCATTCTGGCATGTACTAATACTACTTGTGGCTTTTTGGCAGTGCCTTTGTCGGCTTTCTTTGTGCTCTATCTTTGTGGAATAATGGTGACTAATTTAGAAAGAAAAGCAGAAGTACGGCAGCATGTTATTAAGCAAACGTTTAGTAGTGTTCAGAGTAAATCTAAAGAGGAAAGCATGCTTAATGTGCAGAAACAGGGACACAATAAAAAGGAAAATATATGAGAAATTTATGCCACTTCATTTTTTGGAAAGCAGTCTCCTGGAATGTTTTAATGATCTAAAACAATTTCTTTTTTCATATCATCAAGTACCTAGCTACCTTGTTTATGGAGTGCCTTGTTTTTTATTTCCAGAAATAGAAGGAAACTGTTTTATTTCTTCCAAAATATTATTCTGCCAATTTGAGTTGATGAGCAAGGGAAGACCGTGCATTTAGCCTCTTATTAGTATAGGGATCTGAATCATAACCTGGGCGAGCACTAAAATAATATTACTGTCCCGTCCTTCAAATCTCTGAATGCAAAAACAATAGCAAGACGGATGTGGTTGATTATATTACCGTTGGCTTACCCAGCACCTAATACCCTTTAACATAAGTATTGCGTTAAGATTTCCCCCCTCTCTTTGTAGCTCACGATTTCCTGGAAGCTGGCTGTCCATCAGTGTGTATGTAAGATGTGTGAATGTTTTTCTTTAATATTGAAACTTATTGTAGCAAGAGGAAATGAAAGTGGAGGAGGCCATAGGCGTATGATCCGACAAGCCAGGTGTGGAGTCACAGCTCATTTGTGAGTCCAAGGATAATTAGCTGGCTAGAATTACATGGCAGACCAAAATCAAAGAAAGACTTATTTAGATTTGTTTGGTGAAACTAAAACACGAGCATTAATTTTGAGATAATTGTTTCACTTATCCCCCAGCTCCCCCATCAACCTCTTTTTCTAGCAGCAAAGATCAGCATCCTCTGCTGTCATCTATGTAGTATTTTCACATTTGATGTGCTGTGTTCAAAGAAATGAAATAGGGATATGAGCTAATTACCTATCATCTGTTTTAATGAATAAAGCCAAATAATTATGAATATATTTTTGCATTATAGAAATCCTAGGAAAAATTTAAGTGTTCTCCAGTTGATAATGTGCAGTTAAGTGAAATCATATGCTCCTGAGTGAATTAAACATGTTCTTTAAAATAGAGTATGAAAACACTATCATATTTTGGAATAATGCTTTAACTCCGAGATAGCACAGCCTGTTTTGTTTACTGGTACCTCAGTATCTTTGTATATTTCCTTCAATTTCTACATTGTGTTGGCTTCTGTATTTTTAACATCTTTTTAGTATAATTGTTAGCCGTTTTATAGAGAATAATTGTTCTTAATAGACTAGCAGCTGATGCAACTCCAAGAAGATATAAAAGCTTGGAATTATTTTTTTTCTCATCCAATAATGACTCTGATTTGCTTTCACAGCATTGCTGTAAAGTGTGATACTCATGACTTATTTCTGCATAAATCTGCAGTATTTTTATAGCTAGAACATACCTAAGTACCAGTTCAGCTTGGCAAATTAACTTAGATGCTTCAGAATTGAAAACCAGTATATTCTAATGTAGTTTGAGTTTAAGTCTTTATTAGTAAGGATGCACTTAACATTTGTTCGGGAGAAGGGAATATAATTTTCTCCTGCAGTTGTCATTTATATAATCCATTTTTCTAGCCTTTTCTCAGGCTAATGATATTCCACACCTTGATACAGCCTTTATTTGTTTATTTGCAGTAATATGGGGTGATACCTTGGAGAAAATTAGATTAGATATTCATATCTAGTATCCCCAAAGTATTTAACTAGTCTTCTGTGCTTCCTTAAACAGAATCATTTCCATTTTCTGTGTAGGTGGTAAGTGTGATGCTTCTATAATACATTTGGATGTTTTCAGCTAAGTTCACTCTGGACTCTGGGGCTCCTCCAGATGTTGGCTGAAATTTGTCCTTGCCCCTCCCCAGGCTCCTGCACAAGTGAGTGTCTGCACACGGTGTGCTGTGTGCGGAGTAAACCCAAAGTAACGTCCGTGTTGGCTTTACCAAAGTATTTACGTTGGTAATAGGGACTAAGTACAGAATGTAGAGATTGTCACTTGAGGCCTTTGATTATTAAAATTTTATTAATGCATTAAACAAAGTTTCTGTAAATAGAAAATTTTTGATTCATGGAAATCCAGTGAATAATTTATTTTTAATGATATCGTTGGGAAGTGAAATTTATAAACTCAGTGCTTTTCATAAAAATCAAGACTAAGGTTATGATATTTTATAGAAACAGAATTGTTACTTAAAGGAAATAATCTATTTATACCAAATTACAGTTTTTGATTATTTTCATTACCCAGTTCTTTTAAGAATAAATTTAGTGGGAGTATCAGCTTCAGTCATAGGCACCAAACTCTCTTAGTGACAGAGTGCCCAGGTGTGTGTAAAACTTGTCATTTCTCATCAAAATAAGGTGAGATGAGAAAAGCTATGAGAAAAAATTACTTTGCAGAATATTCATGTTGTCTAGTGAGGAGAGCAAGGAACTCGGTGTAGTGATAGAGAACATTTTGTTAAGTAAAAAAGATGGTTGTATGGCCAAAAAAAGTAATTTTATGGAAGCCAACTCTAGTTAGTACAGCCTGCAGTAGACCGAATGCTTCTCTGTGAATACTTTCAGAGGCGTTAAAGTGATTTCTAATGTCCTGGGAAGCAAGGTGTAATTGTTTTTAAACTAGTTATGTTCCCCTATCACTGAGTCATATGGAGAAGAGGTTTCACGTCTGACTAAGAGCTCAAGCATTACAGCAAGTTAGAAAATATACAGCACAGATAGAAAGAAAATATTAATCAGTGAGCAACCTGATTTCTCTTTGTTTGCCTTTAAGCTCAGTCTTTTTGTTTTTAACCACGTGTAAAGTTGAATTTCAAAGACAGGAAGATTGGGGGTTTTTTTCTTCCTAAGGATAAACATAGGAAAAAATCTAAACATGTAAACAAATTGGTTGAGTTTTATATCTGTTGTCCACCAAAATTTATTATTCATTCATATTTCATGTGTATTAATAGTATTCAAAGTATTAAAACTAATTCTCCTTTTAAATAAAATAGGTGTGGGGTTCCCCACTCTTTTGAAAATATGAAGAAAACGTGCTTTCAACAGTAATGGATTACGGTTGATTAATTGAGAAGGTTGTACTAAACGTTCTCTAGTGGAAACAGCTAGAGTATGCTTTTTGAGAAATGTATCATTCAGGAATAAATCAATTGAAGTATTGGTAATTAAATTGTAATTCCGTGAAGGAAGGAAGTGGTGGGAAAGATGAAGCTAACTATTGCTGTTTTTCTTTTTAAGAACCTACAGTTCATAATGGAGCTACTGTACTGGCTGTGGAAGGAGGAGATTCTGAAGATAGGGAGGTAATATTATCTCTTTTAAAAGAATTCTTTCCTCTGTAATCCCGAGCCTTTATTACATATAAGAACTTTATCTAGTACACAGCAGTTTCTTTAAATTCGGGGTATGAAAACGGTGTGACTTTCCCGCACGGAGTTTGTGAGCTGCTTCTCGAGGGCTCTGGGCTGTGTTGGGAGAGCTGAGGAATCTCATCTAGGCGTGCTCAGCACCCTTAAAATAGCTGCTTTCTGAGAACGCGGCCTGTGATGGAGGCCCGCGCAGTTCTGCTGGCTTTCCTTTCCGCCTGGTGGACGTACGGTACGTGCAGCTAGCGTGTTGCTCAGCCGTCCTGGTCGCCCTCCCAGGCTTCGTGCCTTCTCTGGGGGATTGCGCTCTGCAGGGCCATTTCCTGGCGGCCACAGCCAGACTCTGAGTGGGAGCCTTGGTGGTGGACAACTGATTGCAGAGCTCTGCCAGGGAGTGAGCTAGGCCCAGCCTGGGCGGCTCCCGTGGGCTGGAGGCCGGGAGCTGGTACACATGGTGCTTTTCCGGGTTCACAGCTTTAGGTCCCTGTCCATTTTTCGTGTCATCCTGGGCTACGGTGACACTTCCCTCTCCTCTCGCTGGGTTGGCTTGCTGCTTCCTTTGCAGCTGTCACCAGGATTCTCGTGGAATGGAAGCTGCTTTATTCTGGACGATGTCTTTGATATTTACCCATGTGCTTTTTCAGTTTCAAAAACCTAATGTTGGTGTTAAAGAATGAATCTAAGAGTCTTGAGGAACAACAGTTACGTTCAATTTGTATCAATAAGAAAAGCTTTTATCTTCTTATGCTATGTCGCCATATTGCATATGCAGGTTAAATTGAAAACAGAGTAAAACCCTTTTATAAAAGACCAATTACTGTGTCTAAGAATGTTTATGCAGGCTTAAATTGTGTACTGGTATTTATATCTATTTTTTTTCCTTTTTAAGAAAAACAATATACTTTTCTAGTAAACAAAAATAACTACTCCCTGAACTGTATCTATTGGATGGATATTAATAGAACAATAAAGGGCTTCATGGTGTCTAATTATACAGTTAGGAAATGGTAAGCAATGTGGTGGCTAAAATCAGTTTCTTCCATTCAAAAGGCCAATATACATTTAAAAACAAAAACCTTCGGGAAAAAGACTCTTTAAATCAAATAATGTTTTTGGTTAACACAGCAGCAAGGGGAAATATACCAAGCTCAAATTCTTTCATTAATGCCTGGGCAGAGGTTATAAGCAGCTGAGGAAGCCATTAAAGTGGAGCCTAGAAAAAATGATGATATCAAAGTGATTACTTGGAAAGCAGTTTACATTTGCAAAACAATTCAATATTATGACCTTGACCAACTTTTACACCTCATATACTTGGGTTATTACTCCAGCTTTTAAAATATCAGTCTACGGTACAGCTTGTGTATGGAATGCAAGGGTACTTTCGAATTGACCAGGTCTTGCTGGTCATCTTAAAATATGCTACAATATTGCAAAATTGAAATGTAATGTGTATTAATATAAAGAAAGAATAAAATTTAATATCTGGGTAACTGAGACCTTTAAACCTACTTTAAAAGTATAATCTTGACATCTGTGACACTATCTTTTGTCTGTGTTATATAGATAGAATTATAGATATTCTACAACCCAAGTGTCTTATTTATTAATTCCAAATTTTATTCTCTATAATGGACTTTTAAAATAAAAGGTATATGTGCTTTAGAGAGTCAAATTTTGAGTCATGGGCTGATTTATTAAGCAGTAGTACATAAAAAATCAGCTTTGATTAATTTAGGACTGTGAAAGGAGGCAGGTAAAACTGTTTTCAGCTGGACTTTACTAATGCAGCAACCATTTAAATTAAATGTTTGTTAACATAATAGTGATGGCATTTTCTCCTCCCCCTCCTTGTGGTTTTGTCCAACTAGATGTTACAGTGGCAGTTGCACTGACTGTTAAGTGTTTAAATGATGACACCATTATGTGAAGTGATTCTGAAATGAGAGATTCCAGCCAAGCATTGCATCTGCTCCCGTCTCCTTCACGTCATACTCTCTGGCAGTACAGATTATGATTGATTTGTTTGTGACAGATTGTAGGAAACAGTCATTGATTTTTCAATATTTTACCTTAAAATTATTTACAGTTGTAACCATGGGGAGGTATTTCCATGGGCTGTCAGCCCCTGAAAGACTAGGATAATATTCCCTGCTCTCTGACAAGACAAATTACCTGTAATGAGTGCAGTAGCTGAAGGGTATACTTTTATTTTAAAATATGTCAATAACCCCAGTGACTAAACGAATATTGATTTAGCATAATGAAGCCTGAGTAATGTGAAAATGAGCTTTTTCAAGGAGCATGGTAAAGACTTTCTTTTTAGCTGGTTCTAAGAAGCTTTTCATTCTTTTCAGCTAGCTGGTGGAGAGGAGTCTTCTGTGCAAACCATCAGGAATGATAGGTTGTTTGTGATAACCAGGGTCCAAATATTTTGCCCTTGCTTTTATCGATTCTTTTTCAAATCTTATTTGGAGTCTTACTTTAGTCATAGAACGGCTACTGGTTTGCTTGATCTTATCTTTACCTGATTGAATATTTTTTCCATTTCAACGTATTTTACATTGGAACCTCCAGTAATGAATATTAAAATAGAACTATATGTACAGTCATTTGTAGATGACATAATAATTATCTTAAGACATCTCAAATGGGTTATTGTAGTATTTAATGTGCCGTATTTCATGGTGGAATAGTCCCCAGTCCCGGGACATCAGATTGCTCTCAGTGGGAATGAAGATTAATGTACTTACGTCATGATGTTTTAGGCATCAGTGCATGTTTTTATTTTTGTCAGAATTTTCTCCCTTTTTTAATGTAATTCTCAACTTTTTAAGAATTAAGATCCCAATACATAAGGTCCTTCAAATGAGAATGATAGGGAAGTATATAGCTTTATTTTATAGTCCCTCAAGGAACCTGAAGATTCTATGCCTGAATATGTATCTCCATATCTAAGTCGGTGAGGACAAGATAGGGTAAACAATGCCGGTGATATATAGCAGAAAAGTAGGCATGTGAGCAGGATGTCAGACTGACGTTTCATGGGAGCCTAACATATTTTATAACTAATAGTAATGAAATCTTACTAAAAGCAATAGGTAAAGTCTCTTTAGAAATTAAGAATGAGTTGTGATTTAAAGGAAATTCAGATGGCTCCTTGTGAGTGCTAGTTCTCTTGGAGCGTGGCGTTGGACATGTTGCAATAAAATGAAAAATATAAACATACTTTTAATGGAAGAAAGGATGAACTGTAGAACAAAAAATACTGTTTTCTTTTTCCCCGGAATTTGCCTAAGGGCATGACACAGACGCTCTCTGTCCCTCCCCTGCTTTCTGTCCTGCAGGAAGCTGGCTGCTTGAGCAAATCTCCTGGTCCCCTGGTTTCAAATGCTGTGGGAGTTCATTTCTTTGTCGCCCCTCCCCAAATCCTTTCCCTTTTTCTATGAAAGGATCTTTGAAAATAAAAATATGAGGGATGCACCATCATCATATATGAAACCGGTGGCCCAGATTCTTCAGCCGTTCATTTAGTGTGTAGTTCTGAGTGGATGGAGCGTCCACAGACCTCGCCCAAGGAGCAGGCCCATCCATAGCTAGCCCTGCGGGAGAAAAAGGGACCAAGATTTTCCCTCAATAGTTTTTTAAAATAAAACAAATTTCTTCAGACAAATCCACGCTCAGGAAAGCATCTGTGTTGTCATCCAGTTTATCTTGGAGTAAAATAATAACTGTGTTACAGTCAGCACCTCGTGACCCCATCGTTCCTTTAATCCCGTGTGTTCATTTCACAGTACATGTGTAGACCTATTTACCTGAATTAAATTTAATAAATGTGTAGATAAAGTAAAGCTTTTTCTGGGGAAATTCTTCTCTTTTGGATACTGTGCCCTTCTCCGTTTCTTGTCTCCCCTTGAAAAGAATGTCCTGCCCTTGTTCTCCTTTAGGGAAAAACTATTTATGTAAAGTGTTTTTAAATCATGCAAGTTATTGCCTGGGGTTGGTTAAAACATTTATTTTTTGAAAAGGAGAAAATGCCCTCATCGTAAAAATCTTTCTTGTATTTGTATCTATTAAGATAAATAGTTGACTTTGATACGGTACATACCAATCTACTTAGTTAATTTTTTTCCAGAATTCATTTTACTGTGTTTGGTCTGACCTTCGATGATAACTTAATATAGAAACAAATTAGCATATAATTCTATTTTCCACGTGACCTCAGCCAGTTGCGGAATTGTACCACCACTTTTGGGGAGCAATTTGATAGTTTATGGAGACTGTAGCTTTAAGTGTTTGCAAATGTTCAGTGTGTCCTCACTAATGTGTTATCGAAATGTTTTAAAATAAGCATTTAGAGGAAATACTCACCCCTATTACGAAGTTATTAAAATGCCTCCTAAAGGTAGCATTTTTAATTAGTGTACAGAATTGATTAGTGATTTGTCTTCCCCTAGCATGAAGCAGCGCGGCGAAGTTAAGTGCGGTCGGTGAAGTATAAGATATTAGGGATTGATGGTGACAGTGATCGTGACAACTAAATGGATTTTTTTTTTTCCTTTTAGATTCAGCTATCGGTCTTTGAAATTTCCTGTGGTCTGTTCATTCTAGATGCAAAGGACATGGAAAAATCAAGTGCTCAAGTGGTTTAAATATGTTTGGATGTTCCTATTTATAGACTACAGCATTTTTCCAATTAAAATCCTCAGTTGTCATGCAGAAGAAGGTTATGTTTTTCTTGATCACCACTTTTATTTGAAATGCTTAGTATTGTAGAGTATCACCATTTTCTGTTTTAGTCAAAAGTATAGAAAAAATTAAATCAATTTTATATATTGAATTTTTTTCTAAAATGTCTTTATTGGATTGAACGAATGTTTATACCTGAAAAAAAAGGGTTAAAAAATGCCTTTCTCCATCCTAGCAATTCTTCTGGCAATCTGATATTATTAGAGTAGGTTTAAAATCACCTTCTAACATGACTCTGGTATATTCTTGGGAGAAAAAAGACTTGAAAGGCATCTGTATATATATTTTATTCTCCATATTAGTCTCCCTGGAATAGAACATTTTTTCCTGAGACAAATCTATTAGCTCAACTCAGATACCAGAAAAAATTGCCCTAACTGGCAGAGCATTTGTTATGTGTTTGAATGTTTGATTTACATAAAGAAGGTTGACATCCATTTCTTTCACAGAGTTCTTACATTTGGGTAGAATAATGACAGGTTGCCTTGCCATTGGGAAATTCCTTGTTGTGGCCTTTGTGGCAGCTGTAGGAACACGGAAGGACTCCTCTGTGGCAGGCAGGCCTCCGGCCTCTGTGGTGTGAACACTGAGAAAGGGGTCTGTCTGGCCGGAGAGAGCCCCTGGCGAGGGAGCTGGGCAGACTCACAGATGCTGATGACGCTTGTAGACGCTGCTGGGAGTTGCTGTTTTGTGAGTGACCCAGATTGTACTTCATCCACTTCTGTAGTTTTTACAAAGGGTCAAAGTGCTGTGATGAATTCTTAAGCTCAGATCTCAATGTGGCAAAATAAATTTATTAGGCTAGAGTATTTCTGTTTTTATTTTTAATTAAACTTTGTATTTTGAGAGAATTATAGGTTTCACATGCAGTTGTACTAAGGAATGGAGAGGTCCCCCTGCACTTTACCCAGTTTCCCCCAACAGTAACATCTTGCAATATCTAGTGTAATATTACAGCCTGGACGTTGACATTGATACAGTCCAGATACAGAACATTTCCATCACCACAAGCACTCCTTGAAGTGCGTTTTTAAATGCGTACTCCCTTCTCTCCTGCCCCCCCTCATCCCCTCCCCACCTTAACCCTAGCAACTACTAGTCTGTGCTGCATTTCTATAATTTGTCTCTTTAAGAATGTTATATAAATGAAATCATATAGTTTGTAACCTTTTGGAATTTTGCCTTTTCTCAGCATAATTTTCTGGAGATTCGACTTGCCTGTATGAAGAGTTTGTTCTTTCTCAGTGTTGGGTAGTATTCCGTGGTCTGGTTGTCCCACGGTTCGTTTAACCGTTCACCATTGGGGCTGTTGGGAGCTTCAGTGTTGTTTTTGGGTTTTGACTATCATGAATAAAACTGCTGTAAACATTCTTGTGCAGGTTTTTGTGTGAACGTAAGTTTTCATTTCCCTGGGATAAGTGCCCAGGAGTGCAGTTGTGGCTCATCTGATAATTACATAGAGAACTGCTTTTTGAAACTCACCTTGATTCTGTGTGTGTGGAAGCGGAGACAAGGAGGACATCCACATTTTTGTGGCATTTTTACTTTAACTGCATTTGTTTATGATTTTAAAACATACAGACTATCTTAAATAACGTGTAGCCAGATATCCAAAAACATTTTCCACAACCTAGATTCTGTTCTTATTTTTGAGTAGTGCTTTTGAAAAAAATTGCTTCTTTTTTGGGGTAAAATGTTTGTGTAATGGAATAAAGGGAGACATACACTATAGAAAAGATGTTGCAAAGCTGACAGGTTACTTGGAAAAACTGGGGGATTTTCCAGGTGTTGACAGAGACCTGACATTCCAGAATGCCTTGTGATAGTTTCTGAATTGAGAGACTAGCGTTTGTCACTGTCCTCTCCCCCATAGTTTTTGTGTGTAGAATTAAGTCACTATCTTTACAATTTGTGTTCAGTAGAATTGCATTTAACGCTCATTTAGTTCAACTCTATACACTTAGTAGGAAAAAGAGGGAAAGAAGAAACGAAAAGTATCTTTTCCTAGTATGGCTCCTGAAAATGCAACTACTTTACAGATGCTTAATGGGAGAAACGGCTTAGTTCCAAACCTGGAAATTATACTGTTATGCTTACTGAGACTTAGTGAGGTATGTACAAAACCATCTGTGCTATATTTCTAGGGAGACCCACTGGAAAGATTTTCAAGGGTAATTTTTACTCTTATTTTCTACCATATATATTGACTTTAGAACTCTCACTGAAGATGCAGTTCCATTTCTTTTTTAGAAACATTGGATATCATTAGCTAGTTATGGTGATCTTTCTAACAAAAGCCAATATTATCAATCTTTAGCTTTTTTGAGTGAGACACTAGGCTCTTTCAATCTTTCAATGCTTCTAAATGTAATTTCACCTTTAGCCCATTGTGGTCATGACCATAGTGATATAAATGACATAAGATAATAAAATAGTCCTTGCCCTTAAAAATGACCTAAATAAAAGATATGTGTACACTTGGAATCTTTAAGTATCAGTGGTCACTGGTCATTAAGCAGCAATGGAAGCACCCCAGGTTCCAGCAGTTCTAGGCGCTGGGAGCTAACAGTAAAGAAGAGCAACACAGCCCCTCTTCTCTTAGCCTGGTTTTCATGGCTCTTTGCTTGCGGGGTGGGGAGAGGAGAAAAGTAAAAAGAAAAAGAGAGAGACCAACATGATTATGTGTTAGTACAAATCCAGAGCCTTCACGCTTCAGGAGAGAGACCAGGGAGCTGGGACCCTGGAGCAGGCCTCACAGAGAGCGGCAGGCTGGAATTCTGCAGGAGCGCTGTGCGCCTGTGCGATGTGGAGAGGGCGCCCATGGGAAAGGGGAGATGAGCTGCAGTGTGGTTGGTTGGAAGTGCAGTGGAATCTGGTCTGGCTAGAATTTCCTGGGGCATCAAAGGGCTATGTCACTGCCCCAAAGTATATTTAACAGCTTGCTATGTTTTAGGAACTTGCCAGAAATGCAGCAAGCTTTTTTTTGAGTAATGTTTGAATTTAAATATGTGGATTTGAGTAAAAAAGCAAATGGATACTCTTCCGCCTAAAACTAGGGCTTGGAAATATATTTCAGGTAATGAAGCTCGATCTGTTTGTATGTGTCTATGTATAAGACAGAATATTATTTTCCTCCTTTTATGTTTGATAAGGAATAAGATGTTTTATACTTTTCTGGGGTCTTAAATGCATTATCTATAAGACCATAATACTTTTGAAAATTTTTGTTTATTTTAGGCGTAAAATAACAAAAGAACTTAAAGTTCTTTTGGAAGAGCTCCAAAGTTAAAATTGCAAGATCTCATATAGATAAAAAGTTTCCTAAAGAATAGTACATTTGTAAGATTATATAGAGAGCTGATGGCTTTGCTAAGAAACTATTTTGAGCAACCTAAAAAAATACAACTATTTCTGTGCATTTTTCTTAAAGTGTTCAAGGTAGTAAGAGAGAGAAGAGCCTTTTCTAAATATGCATGCAATTTTAGGGGCTGAAGTAGGAAGCTCTAATAGACCGAGGTCCCTTTAACTTGAGACCTTGGAAAAAGGAAGAGATGGAAGGGTCTATTAGAGTTTCTTTGAATTTATATGAATCATAGATTTGACCAAAGTGGTTACAAAAGGCATCAAAAGTAAGATAATCGGGATTTTAAATGTAATAATATCGATTCCAATATCCTCAACTCTATGGCATTGCCAATGAGGAGGCCAAAATGCATTGTGTTTTGTGAAAGGTTGGTGACTTGAAAGTTCAGAGTGTATGTAATGACCAGGCATTGTGGAATCATCTTGTAATACTGTTTAGCAGTTAAAAAAATAAAAGGAAAAGAAAACGGTGCAATTTTGGACAGTTTTTTAAAAAAAATTTTACAAATCCTGCAAATCATAGGTTGGTTACCAGTAGACTTCCTGACTCGGCCATGATTGCTGTATTCTCTGTGTATTCCTTTAAAACACCAGGCACTTTATAATTTTGTCTATAATTGTTTATGTATATTTTCTCCACAAAATGTGTTTAGGGCAACTTATTGCTGAATTACCTTAACCCACTTGCCATCTTTAAACTTCGTGTATGAATAAGTGTCAGCTGCAAGACGCGCTAGGACACTATGTAATTTTTTCCAGGAGCCTTCTTATTCAAAATACCTTTCAAACTCAGTGCATAAAAATAGCATGCTACTTCCAGTTGCAGGCTTTTGAAGCTGGAGAAGACTTGTTTTTCACATGAAGAAACTGAGTCTCAGGAAGATGAAATGACTTTCTGTTAAGTGATAATGAGGATCTTTAGACTCCAAAGCAAATGCTGCCAACTTGAAGATGCTCGTCCCCAATTCTGGAAATTCAATTTACAGATGCTTCTATCACAATCCTATTCTTAGTAATGTTTTATTCTATAGACGTCAGAAATAAATGTCTACTTGCCATCTGTACGTGTCATACAAACATTTTGGCTCCAAATACAAGTACAAGTAACAAGTTAATATGGATACAAGTAGCAAGTTAAAGTGTATTGATCTCAGAACTGAGTTTTAACCAATAGAATGTTTCGTTTATTCATTGCTATTTCTGCATACCTGCTGTGTTTTAGCATTGTGATAAATCTGGGAATTAAATATGAATGCAGCATGTTTCCTGAATTCAGCAAAGTGCACTTTGGGCTCAGGCCTGGAGATGAGATGGTGAACAGCATGCCGTGTTTGCCCTTGTGGAGCTTGGAGCTTTAGCATCTACAGTGGAGACAAGGCATACACAGACCATTTCAGCACAGCATGCTGAGAGGGAAAGGCTGGGTGCTGTGGGACCACGGGGGCACAGTCCTAACCGAGCCTGACAGAGGGTGGGCAAGGTCAAGGAAGGCCTCACAGAGAAGGGGGCATTGGAATTGAGCCCTGAAGGAAGAGGGCTTCACACGGGGGAGCACAGGCCAGGCACAAGGGCGAGCAGGGTGCATTTGGGGGTCTGCGAGGAGTTTGGGAGCTGCAGGAGGGATGTGTGCAGAGGTGGGAGAGAGAGAGGAAGAGGGGCCAGGCTGCAGAGGGCGTTCGTGTGCCTGCCGGGGAGCTTGGGCTGCATCTTTCCTTCGCCTGAGGAGCTCTGTGCTGAGAGATACCACTTTTGGGTGGCGGGTGGGATGCAGTGGAGGCCAGCAGGCTGGGACGGTGAGAGACCAGTTAGGTGATCTTTGCAAGTAATTGTTCAGGTGAGAGAACAGTTGCCTGAGCCGAGAGAGCGGCCAGGGGAAGGGGCGAGGCTGTGGGATTGATGGGGGATACTAAGATGCGGAAAGTAAGAGGAGTGAGGACTGGTGACACACGAAGGTAAAGGCGTCCCGTGTCAACGAGGCTGTCCAGAGGCCTTCAGCAATGAGGTGGTGGCGGTGGTGGTGTGAGACGGGGAGCCGAGGAGAAGCAGGTCTGATGGGGAAAAGACACTCTGTGGGCGGGGCAGTTGCTTTGGAGGCCCTGCTAGAATATCCAAGGGGCTTGCAACTCACAATCTAGCAGCAGGCCGGGAACATTCTTTCGTACTGGTGCAACTTTTTTTTCTCTTAAAGGGCAGATTTCTCAAAAAATGTGTTTTCTTTCATTATTAATTTTTTATTGTTGTATGATGCAGTTGTAATTATCCTGTGAAAAGAAAGTCTGAGATGAACTGTTCAGTATTACTGGGCAGGGCTTTTTTGAAAAGCATAGGTTCAGAAGTGTGTAAAGGAAGGAAAGTGAGTGTTCCTAGCTGCAGTTGTCCCCAAACATGTCAGTGAATTAAGTGCACTAAATTTCAATTGTGCCTGGAGATTTAAAGAGAGAGAGGCGAAACATTTCCAAGAAAAAAGCTCTGGAGAATATTTTTGTTTTTAGAAACTTGATGAGTTTGAATTACAACATATACTTAAGTGATTAGTATGGACTGTTACCTGGATCTTATTACCTCAAACATTCATTCCCTAAGTACTTACTTGGCACCTACTAGGTCTTAGGTACTAGACAGTGTGGGCCACAGAGTAGAGGCCACAGTGGGCGTGGTCCTCCCTCACAGAGTTTAGAGTCTAGCTGGTAGATTAGAAATCCTGAAGGTAGCTTTTTATGATATTCCTGTCTGTGTCTGCTTAATATAATTGACATACCTCATGAGGACAACTTATGACTCCGAAATCCCATAATAGTGAGCATTTATACCTCCAGAGGACACTGCCATGTTCACAGGAGGAAGAAAAAGAAAGGGTCAGGGCTCCTGGGACTTTCTGCCTGATGAGGTGGGGCTGGTGGAACTGTTCCTCATGGCAGGAACCTGGAGCGCGTGTGGACAGTCGCTCCTGGCTATTCCCGAGGGGCCTGAGAAGTTAAGATGGTTTGGTTGCCCAAAAGGGTAAGGATGAAAAGAGTTGAGATCGAATACGCTTGTTTTAGAGTTAGAAGGAAGTTGAAACTTGGTACTTCCTTCACATTTTGACTTTGAAAACCTTGACATCCATTGAGAAGCTGAACTATTGCAGACTTTTGATTTTAAAACCAAATTAGATCATTTTTTGAGCAAACCACAGCACATTTCTGTACCGTTTCTGTGCCCAACCTTACTTACTACTGTCCCTCATTTTTCAGGGGAATGGGTATCCCTTCTCCTGTCTAGCTAACCACTTGTTTTCTCTTTTCCATTTTCTCCTGATTTCTTAGCTCTCTTCCGGATCTTAACATCCCCGCTCTTCATTTCTCTTTCTCAATCACTCCCGTTCTACAAGTCCCCTCTAGACCTAGTCTCTCCCTCTAAGCGCCACTCGGAATCTTTTCCTTCTTAACTGCCGAGCTTGTAGAAGGATGCGTTTGTAGAAATGTGCTTATGGTAGCTTTCTCCACTCTCACTGTCCATTCGTCCCCATGCCCTCTGGTCTTCTAGTTATCTAAAGGCCTAGATCTCACCCGACCTAACCTCTCTGTGCACGTGACAGTGTCCTTGGCTTCTGAGATGCTGCTGTCCCTGGGTTCTTTGGCCCCTGACTGTCGCTTTTGCAGGCTCCCTCCCTTGGTGTGCCCCTCAAAGGTTGCTGCTCTCTGGGGCGCTGCCCTCTGCTTCAGTACTGCTCCCTTGCCTGAGCCCTGTCTCAGTTTCAGCTGTCTAGTGGGACAGCTCCTGATCACCCCTCCGCTGTCTGTTCTGCCCTGAGCCACCTTCTGTCTCTGCCCTGCTGAACGTTTCATCTTGGTTCATGGCATCACTCTTGCCCCAGTTACCAAATCAGGTCAGTGTTACTCTCATAGACTCTACCAGGTTAGGTCAATTCTTTATTCTAAAATTTCTCAAAATCCCCCACCTTAGTCTGTTCTCAGAGATACTTGGGGACACAGGGTTGAGGAATCAAGGTCTCTGTACCTCGAAAGTCCACAGTCTACAGTGCAACTCTAAATGTGGTCCATAGACTGTGACAGAACACAGCTCTTTACTTTGATAGACTTTATTTTTAGAGCAGTTTTGGTTCACAGTAAAAGTGAGCGAAGGTACAGAGATTTCCCAGATATCACCTGCCCCACACATGCACAGCCTCCCAATAAGCAGATCCCCCACCAGAGTGGTACATTTGTTACCATTGATGAACCTACATTGACACGTCGTCATCACCCAACGTCTATGGTTTACGCTATAGTCCACTCTTGGTGTTGTACTTTCTGTGGATTTGGACGAATGTATAATAACGTGTGCCCACCATTACAGTATCGTGCAAAATAGTTTCACTGCCCTGACGATTCTCTGAGCTCCTCCTATTCATCCCTTCCTCCCACTAATCCTAGCAACCCCTGATCTTTTTCTTTCTCCACAGTTTTGTCTTTTCCAGCTGTCATATAATTAGAATGAAACAGTATGTAGCCTTTTCACATTGGCTTCTTTCACTTAGCAATGTGCATTAAGTTTCCTCCATGTCTTTTTGTGCCTTCGTAGCTCATTCCTTATTAGGGCTGAGTAATATTCCATTGTCTGGATGGACCACAGTTTATCCACTCACCTAACGCAGGACATCTTGGTTGCTTCCAAGTTTTGACAATTGTGAATAAAACTGATATAAACATCTGTGTGCAGGTTTTTGTGTGGACACAAATTTTCCACTCTTTTGGGTAAGTACCAAGAATCGTCATTGCTGGATTGTACGGTAAGAGTATTTAGTTTTATAAGAAGCTGCCAAACTGTCTTGCAGAAGTGGCCGTACCACTTTGCATTCCCAGCAGCAATGAATGTGAGTTCCTGTTGCTCCATATCCTTGTCAGCATTTGGTGGTGTCACTGTTTGGGATTTTGGCCATTCTAATAGGTAGGTATTGGTATGTCATCATTCTTTTAATTGGCATTTCCCTGATGACATATGGGGTGGGGCATCTTCCCATGTGCTTATTTGCCATCTCCATATCTTCTTTGTGGAGATGTCTGTTGAGGTCTTTGGCCCATGTTTTGATTGGGTTGATCATTCTCTTATTGTTGAGATTTGAGAGTAGTATGTATGTTTTGGATAACAGTCCTGTATCACATGTGTCTTTGCAAATGTTTTCTCCCAGTCTGTGGCTTGTCTTCTTGTTTTTCACAGAGCAGAAATGTTTCATTTTAACGAAGTCCAGCTTCTCAATTCTTTCTCTCATGGATCGTGCTTTTGGTGGTATGTAAAAAGTCATCATCAAATCCGAGGTCACCGAGATCTTCTGTTATCCTTTAGGAGCTTTATACTTTTATGTTTTACATTTAAGTCTGTGACCTATTTTGAGTTAATTTTCATAATAGGCATAAAGTCTATGTCTAGATTCCTTTTTTCGCATGTGGATGTCCGCTTGCTCCAGCATTATTTGTTGAAAAGGCTCTCTCTGCTCCATGCTTGGCCTTTGCTCCTCTGTCAAAGATCAGTTGACTAGATTTATGTGGGTCTATTTCTGGGCTCTATTCTGCTCTGTTGATCTATTTGTCTGTTCTTTCACCAATACCACACTGTCTTGATTACAGTAGCTTTATAGTAAGTCTTGAAGTCGGGTAGTGTCAGTCCTCCAACTTTGTTCTTCTCTTTCAATCTTGTGTTGACCCAAAATAGGGTCTCTGGCCTCTCCATGTAGACTTTAGAATCAGTTTGTCAGTATCCACAAAATAACTTGCTGGGATTCCGATTAGGACTGCATTGAATCTATAGATCAGGTTGAGAAGAACTGACATCTTGATAATATTGAGCCTTCCTGTCCATGAACATGGAACATCTCTCCATTTATTTAAGTTTTCAATTTCTTTCATCGGAGTTTTGTAGTTTTCCTCATATAGATCTTGTATATACTTTGTTAGGTTTATACCTAAGAATTTCATTTTGGGGGTGCTAATGTAAGTGATATTTTATTTCTAATTTCAAATTCCACTTATTCGTTGCTGGTATGTAAGGAAGCAATTGACTTTTATATATTAAACTTGTATCCTGCTATCTTGCTATAATTGCTTGTTAGTTTTAGTAGTTTTTTGTTGATTTGTTCAGATTTTATACATAGATGATCATGTCTTCTGTGTGCATAGTTTTATTTCTTTCTTCCCACTCTGTATACCTTTTATTTCCTCTTCCTGTCTCCTTTTGTTAGTTAGGACTTCCAGTAAAATGTTGAAAAGAAGTAGTG